TCACCTAAACCTTTATTCAACGCTCCCATTCCTTCTTGTAGGTTGAAAGAATATTCATTCCCACTGAACTATCAAGTTTTTAGATAAGTAGGGTTACTTAACACTTCAGCATAAAGTTGAGTGTGGTTGATGTTATTGGGTTGAAAAGAACACTTCAGGAGCGTTGACAGTCTGACTTACTACCACATCGCAGAGGTAGCTTCAAATGACTGATATGTGGTAAAGCTTAATAACTAGATGAAAAAGGTTATGGATTCAGTTGAGAGTCAGCAGAAATTAAATTCCGATTTTCGTAAGATCTCATATGAGCTATACTTCATGGATATTTCCCTCAATAAACCTATAAATAATCGGCATGGACTTGGGGAGAAGAAACTTCCGATAAACTCGCGTGACTGGGAACTTTGAGAAGAAAAAAAAGGGATATGACTATGAATGCTGTTATCGGCCTGACTGTGATTTGTCTTTACATGAGAAATAAGAGACGCCTGATAAGACGGCATTTCCAGCACCACCTAATCCTGGTCATTGTAGATGAAAAGAGTAGACTTACATTTCCGTATGTCTATTACTGAAAGTTGACTTATATTTCATTCCGTTCTCTGGAATCTATGAGTTACAGACCGTATTGGGTGGTTCGCTGGTCAAAGTCGTCTTCGATAACATCACAGGCATGCCTAACCTGTGATAAGACTGTGCTTTTACTGAATTGAACTGGAGTAATTATTATTTTGTACACAATCACCAGAGAGCCTCTTAATCTCCTTCAACTTAGCAAGCACAGTCCTTGTAAGATCCATTTTGAAGATTCCGTGTGTGAAAGTCCCTCCATGTATAAATTTGCAACTTCTTCTTAATGGTTCCTTTATTTGTATATATCGTTAATCTTTTTGATGCCATTCGACGTTGTAATGTTTCATTTTATAATACTTTTCTCAGTTTCATTGTTGCTTTCACTGGGTTTCCATGTTTCTTCTTGAAATGCATCTTACTTACTTCCTTACGCCTGTTACCGCTCGTCGAGGAGCATAGGCCGCTCACCAGCTTTCCCCATCCAACTCTGTCCTGAGCCTTTCTTTCCAGTTCTTTCCAGTTACTATTCATCCTTTTCATATCGGCTTCTATTTCCCGGCGTAGTGTGTTTTTTGGCCTTCCTCTTTTCCGCTTCCCTTCCGAGTTCCAAGTTAGGGATTGAGTCGTGATTCACATTGGTGATTTCTTTAATGTATGTCTTTATGTATGCTTTTACATCTGCATCCGATCCTCCTTGTTTATCGACGATGCTCCCCAGGTATGTGAATGTTTCCACCTCTTCCAGAGTTTCGCCATCAAGTGTGATTGGGTTGGTGTTCTCCGTGTTGCATTTGAGAATCTTGCTTTTCCTTTGTGAATGTGGAGGCCTATCGATGCAGAGGCTGCTGCTACATTTGCTGTCTTCATCTGCATTTGGTCGTGTGTATGAGAGAGGAGGGCTAGGTCATCTGCGAAGTCCAAATCATCTGATTGATTCTGCGAAGTCCATTGTATTCCGTATTTCCCTTCAGATGTCGAATTCTTCATAATCCAGTCAATCACTAGAAGGAAGAGGAATGGGGAGAGTAGACAGCCTTGCCTGACTCCGGTCCTTACTGGAAATGCATCTGTCAGCTGTCCTCCATGCATGACTTTGCACTGTAGTCCATCGTATGAGTTTTGGATAATGTTGACGATCTTCTGAGGAACTCCATAGTGTCGAAGAAGTTTCCATAATATTCTCCTGTCCATGCTGTCAGACGCCTTCTCATAGTCAATGAAGTTGACGTATAGTGATGAGTTCCACTCAACAGAATGTTCAACGATGATCAATAGTGTCGCAATCTGGTCTGTGCACGACAGATCCTTACGGAATCCAGCCTGATGATCCCGAAGTTCGGCGTCTACTGCGTCTTTCATCCGATTCAGCAGCACTCTGTTGAAAACTTTTCCTGGTACTGATAACAGTGTGATGCAACTGTAATTCTCACATTTGCTCAGATCTCCTTTCTTTGGTATATTGATGAGATATCCTTCTTTCCAGTTCGTTGGCACTTGTTCCTCTTCCCAAATCTTCTTGAATAGAATGTGAAGCATGTTTGCAGTTATTTCAATGTCTGACTTCGGTGCTTCTGCTGGTATATTGTCAGGTCCTGCCGCCTTCTCACTTTTGATTTGTCTGATGGCCATCTTGACTTCTTCGATCGTTGGTGGAGTGACATCTATTGGAAGGTCAGTGTGGGCTGCTTCGATGTTCGGTGGATTCGATGGGGCTGGTCTATTTAGCAGTTCCTCAAAGTATTCTGCCCATCTTTTCCTCTGTTTTTGAATCCCCAGGATTGTCTTTCCTTCCTTGTTTTTGATTAGTCTCTCTGGTTTACCATATCTTCCTGCTCATTTCTTCGTTGTATCATATCGTTGTTTCATATTTCCTTCTCTTGCAGCTTTTTCCTCTGTCGTTGCTAGTTGAAACGTGGAGAACTACTACAACCATCATCAGGGAGGTACAAGTATTTATAAACAGTTGTTTACGCAAAATACTCAACATCCACTGGCCGGATACTATCAGCAACAGCGTTTTATTGGAGAGGACAAACCGTCTTCGAGCTGAAGAGGAAATTAGGAAAAGACGTTGGAAGTGGATCGGACATACATTAAGGAAATTACGGATGTGAATCACGACTCAATCCCTAACTTGGAACTCGGAAGGGAAGCGGAAAAGAGGAAGGCCAAAAAACACACTACGCCGTGAAATAGAAGCCGATATGAAAAGGATGAATAGTAACTGGAAAGAACTGGAAAGAAAGGCTCAGGACAGAGTTGGATGGGGAAAGCTGGTGAGCGGCCTATGCTCCTCGACGAGCGGTAACAGGCGTAAGGAAGTAAGTAATGTTTGACTAGAATCGTTGTTACCCCAATCACTTTTTTCTGATTTCGATCGGAGTCCACGCGTCTCTAAGTAAATAGACAGTTATTCTTCAGCCTTACTTAGTTTGGATTCTACAGTCATGCGACACAACCACAGCTACTATATTTTCCCCGTGGTGTCACTGTGACTGTGGTTCCTAGACACCCTTTTCGTTTGTCTTGTCATTTCTTAGGTGTGTCACTAGAGGTAGAAATCAGTATAGGACTGGGATCTTAGTTGTTTAATGAGATACTTATGTTAAGCTTTTGAGTTTTGTGGTCAAAATCATGCCCATTTCTGTAGTGAACGAGAACACTCAAGGGAACAATCAGATGTACTTGAACACAAAATTGCAGAATGTTTTCACAAAATCTGACAACCATACAGAAAATTCTTCATTTGCAATATATCAATCAATCATCTCCGATTTAATTGTTCCTTCATCTCCCCATTAATCATTCACTGTTCTCGTTCATTTCTCTTCTTAGTTATGTCCATAACTAACCAACCAAATCGTTGCTTAGGTTGCCAACACATTGCTCTGGTCTGATGCGGCTGTAGACCATCCTGGTTGCATGTGATCTGCCGTTTGAAGGAAATTATTATCCTAATATATTAGTGTGACTCATAATTTTTATTCATTTCGATGACACACAGTACTGGTCGGCATGTTTGAGTGTTTCACCTAATGACTACAATTCCTTTATTATTGTACTAAACGAGTTATTTTTACGCTTAGAAACAGATAAAGTTTAAAGCAAAGTTGTCCTTGTTCTGACGATAGCTTTCACATAGACTCTGAGGTCGCCAGTATCACGTTCACCGTTTTAGTGTTATTTCTGTAGGACAAATTAAATCCCACAACTTTCTACCGCCCGGCATTCCACCTTCGATTGCTGACACATACTACTTATATCCGTGCGGAAAATGGGGTATCTAGGAGACTGTTGCACAAGCAACTCCCTGAAGCCATAACAAGTCCAGGGCCGACTGAGCATGTAGGTGACGATACGAGATGGGAAAAGAACGGAAAACCTTCGAGATCAGATTGCCCACTTTCAAATGATCAAATCACATTCGAAGATTTCCATGTCCAAGCACCAGAAGAGAGTAGTGTAGTGTAGTGCTTCGTTAATCGATCGTCTTGATAACCGTTATTATAACAATCTGAACGGTGTATAATATCAGAAGACAAAGGGAAGCAGCAACTACATTTTTATTGATAACTAACATGGGCTAGAAGGCAGTGAGCACATTAGCAAATGTAAGCAAGCGAAGGAAAGATGACGCAGAGTGGAGATGGCTGGGAAGCCAACTCGTTATAAGCAAGCATTAAACAACATTTATAGTCAGGCTACAATGAATGACAGACATGTGATAGGTAGGATAAGAAGTGTGCATACACATGCGCTCATATAAAAAAAATAGTCAAGGTCAATAAGCGAATAATTAACAAGATCAAAATATGACTCATAACGTTATAGGTGAATTGGCTTGTCCAGAAACTAGAATAAGCTATGTAGGTGTAATATAGTACACGACGTTACACTACTCCCCACAGTAGCGATCATTCAGCTGTCATCTTTAATGTGGTTACAAACTAGGTAATTTAATGTCCGTAGTTACCCCTAGTTCTCTGAAGGTTCCAGAAACACGAATGCCCTCAGGGAAGTTAATTGCTCAAAATACGAGGTACACAGTTAGCTGACTAGTATGTGTGAAGTCGAGTGGTTAGATTACCTTCGTTGATATTGCCGAATGCCTGGAATTATAATCAGACACAAAGAAATCAATAGGTTTTTTCAAACTCGTCGCGAATGTGCTGGGAGGTGAAAACAATGATGTGGAACAGATGAGACTTGGCTAGTAATGGAACTTAAGGGGTTTAGTTCTTCTCAGTTGAAATTCATCAGCTGGATATATTTGCATCTCAGAAACGATATAGGTCCTAAGACTTGAAGCCGATGCTGTTTGCATTAAACTACGTCTCATTATCCATACATCTACTGAATCCAGATAGCTACCTGTTTCTTAACGGGTATATCAACGACAAAATAATACATTGTTTGTTGAACATATCATGCTGTCAAAATCTTGCGTTACTTTGCATTTGGGTGAAGGTTAGTCACCAGTTGGTATGATTATTATGCTTTGTGAAATACCTTATGCATTTTTTACCACACCACAAAACATGAAATATAAAACTAAAGTTGGAATTCACACTTTATAACTGTAAGCTAGATGACTTTCGTATAGAGATTAACTAAGCGACTGGGAGTAATTTTCAGATGGCTCCTAACCAGCCTTTGAAAGTAGATAGTTCGCAGAAAAAGTAATGATGTTGCAGGGTGTAGTAAGATTTCACATGCTTGATAAATGTAATAAAATTCTGCAAGTCAATCTGCCCGTAAAGGGCGATAACGGCGAGATTATAATTTACGGACGGCCTTTGAACGAATCTTAGTGACCTTGAGAAGCATTACCCAACAGTCAGTATAGAGTTAATATATATTATACAAAATCAAAGAGTTAAAGTGGATACACTTCTTTTATATGGTCCAAAGACTTATCAAGGTTAGGAAGAGGTTCAAATATTCTTAATCACGTTGGCTGTGCAAAGCATGTTGTTCTACAAAGTCTCTTCTAATTCTAAGGGCGATTGAGCTTTTGAAAATAACTAGAAAATTGCCCCTAGACAAACAAGCAACAGTAGATGAACAAAATCCCGCTTTCGGGGAAGTAGCGAGCGTTATCATTAGCTCAGCTCTGGATTTGAATGAGACTATAAAGGTGGACCCCATTAGGGAAGCAAATAACAAGCATGCCAATATAGGTATTATTACAAGGACAAAGAATAAACACACTTAGAAGAAACTAATCGACAGTACTAAGGTATGCTTCGGTTTGGTCACCCGGGCAGTATCACAGCACACACACAAATGACATGAAATGACGCACTACACTAACTACACTGCTCTCATTCCCAATAGAAGAAAGACAATTTACATTATTATTATTACCATTATTATTATTATTTACTACGTCGCTTTTTCACTCCCTTTATTCCCAAATTGTGTATCCTTCCTTTCCAACTTATGCAGTAGCTCGCCCATGGTGGAAACTCTGTCCTATCTAAACGATCTCCAGTCACTGTCTGTTTGAAAGTGAATGCTTCCACCGATTACGAATACTGAAGCAGTGTTTCTGAAACCACGTACGCCGTTCAAGCTGGCTTCCTTCAACGTTCGCACACTAATGCATATCGGACAACAGATGGGGCTGTCTATGTCTTTATAAATTTTCAACATCGGTATCTGTTATCTATCCGAGACCCGTATTCAAGACTCTAGTGAAGTACCACAAATTCGCTCTCCATCTGCCGCTTCGAAAAGCTTGTTTCACGTGCGCTTATTCGGGCATCTTCGTCTGGTTTTGCAGACGTTAGTGTTGCACTAAGCGCTAGGGCTGAGGCAGCACTAATCGATTGGATCCCCATTAACAGTCGGTTATGTGCTGTTAGATTAGAAAGTTACATCAAAGTGAGAAGAAACCGGCGTGAGAAACGGTGTCTTTTCGTCATCTCCGCCTATGCCCCGACAGATTGCAGCCCGGATGCAATCAAGGATGAGTTTTACCATCAGTTAACAGTTCTTCTCCAGAAAGCGCGTTCGACAGATATTGTAGTATTAGCCGGAGACTTGAATGCTCAGGTCGGGCGTCCAGGCACAGAAGAGAGTCGTTTAGGTGGCCGATGGGGACTTGTTGGTCGCAGGACAGATAACGGGGACCGTTTGCTGCAACTGTGCACAGACCACAACCTGTTTCTGGCTAGCACTAACTTCCGGCACAGTCATCGCCGGTGTGCCACCTGGCGTCCTCCCTCTGCATCTCTAGCCTGGACTCAGATTGATCACATCGCGATCAGCTACCGCTGGCGTGGTTGTGTACAAGACTGCCGCTCCTTTTGGAGTACCTATCTGGAGTGTGATCATGCCCTGGTCTGCGCCAATCTCACCTTACTTTTCAGTGGCCGAAGGATTGACCACCACCAACGGATCGATGTTAGTAAACTGGCTGCAACATCTGTTGCAAGTAAGTATCGAGCGGAGCTAGCCTCTAGGCTAGCTACCACCCCACCGAAAAGTATAGATGAGCATTGGTTGCATCTTCACGACGCCATGAAAATGGCGAGTAAAGCCGCTTGCGGCTTCGCGAAACGTCCCGCTTACAAGCACTGGGTTTCTTCTGGCTCCTTACAACTGATGGAAGCCCGTCGGTCTACTCCGGGTGACCGTCCGTTTAACCACAAACGAAGGCTGTTACGTAATGAAATTGGGCAAAGCTTGCGTAAGGACCGAGAAGCCTGATGGTCGGAGCGTGCTAATGAGATGGAAGCAGCAGTTGCATCTGGTAACTGCCGGAAGTTCTTCCAACTCATCCGAGCCACTGGCAGCAAGAAGTCTGGTGTGAGTGAAACAATTTACGAGGATTACGGGATGCCAATCACTAACATCTCTCGACGTCTTGAACGATGGGCGGAATTTTTTGAAGGGCAGTTCAACTGGCCTGCTGCTCCGGCAACATCAACCAGTTTGTCCTGACCCCCATGGCCGGTGACGACTGATCCACCAAACGAGGCGGAAGTCCGCAAGGAACTCCAACTCTTGAAGTGCTACAAATCACCGGACCCAAATGACCTACCTCCGACTTGTTTTTAAAGATGGTGGTGACTTTCTGGCTAAGGAACTGACTATGTTGTTTGCAAAGGTTTGGGAGCAAGAAAGTGTTCCAACATCATGGAAAGAGTCGATAGTCGTCCCAATCTTTAAAAAGGGTTCACGTTGTTCCTGTAACAACTATCGGGGGATAAGTCTACTTCCGATTGCGTCCAAACTATCGGCTTCTGTCATTCTTCGTAGGTTGTTTAAAACCCGAGAACGATTGACTCGCGAGGAGCAGGCTGGTTTTCGTTCTGGTCGAGGATGCATTGATCACATCTTCACCCTCCGCCAAATGTTAGAACATCGTCATACTTATCGCAGGCCAACAATCGTAGTGTTTCTTGATATCAGGGCTGCCTTCGATTCGTTGGACAGGACTGTTCTCTGGGATTGTCTATTGATGAAGGGTGTGCCTGAGAAGTTCATTAACATCTTAAGGGCCCTGTATACGAACACCTCAGGCAGAGTGAGGGTATACAACCACCTTTCTCCCTTGTTCCATTCAAGCAGTGGGGTTAGGCAGGGTTGCCCGATCTCACCATTCCTCTTCAACTTTGCCATCAATGACATCCTGGAAACAGCTCTGATGGATGTAAGTAATGGCGGTGTGGATATGTTGCCTGGAGAACGACTTCTCGACCTCGAGTATGCGGATGATATTGTCTTACTGTGCGATAATGCCCAAGGCATGCAATCCGCACTTAATCAGTTGGCAATCAGTGTCCACAGGTACGGCATGTGCTTTGCACCCTCCAAGTGCAAAGTACTCCTACAAGACTGGCAGGATTCTCATCCTGTACTCACCCTGGATGGTGAACAGATTGAAATAGTTGAGAAGTTCCTGTATCTAGGTAGCTATATAAGTGCTGGTGGTGGCGTGAGTGATGAGATTGATGCACGTATAATGAAAGCAAGAGCGGCGTTTGCCGATCTGGGCCATCTTTGGCGCCTTCGTGATGTTAGTCTGGCTGTAAAAGGTCGGATCTACAACGCGTCGGTGAGAGCAGTTTTGCCCTATGCTTGTGAAACCTGGCCTATCCGAGTTGAGAATGTTAGACGTCTCTCTGTGTTCGATCATCGTTGTCTCCGAGGGATTGCTGACATACAGTGGCAACACCATGTTAGTAATGCAGAGGTTCGGCATCGTGTGTTTGGGCGCAGAGACGATCACCATCTTAAAACACCGACTTCGGAGGCTTGGACATGTTTTACGAATGTCGTCCCAGAGACTTCCACGTCGTGCATTATTTGCCGACTCTGGGACTGGTTGGAAAAAGCGGAGAGGAGGTCAGTGTATGACATGATGTCGTGGCATGAAAGAAAGCTGCAAAGGGCTACCTTCTGTTGGTCCTCCACGACTCCCTGGCTGGGGTCCGAGAGATGGTGCAACACAGTGGCTAGAGACGTTATCAGATATGGCTCAGAATAGAAGCCAGTGGCGATCCTGCTGCAACCTTCTTTTACTTCCTACATAAAGAATGGTTCTAACTTTCCTAACTGAAAGAGTCTTCTGGTTTTACATTTCAGTCCGCCTTATCTTTTCATCCTTTCTCTTCCTACTTTCATTATTTTGTGTGGCGCATATGTACCTGGTGCCCTTTTGTACCAATATATATATATATATATATATATATATATATATATATATATATATATATATATATGTTTAAATAAATAATAAAGGTATGTGAGTCTACGGTTACAGTTCCGGATTCACATATCAACGCAGAACAAACTATGGGGAAGCAAAGTGTGAGCGGTGTAGAGGATGTGATCAAGAGACAAAATAAGGTAAATGATTGGCTCACAGTTACACTCAGGAAAAGAAAAGTAAGAAAACAGAATGTGTCCTTTGCGTTTGACGTCAAATAGGAATCGGATTGCTGGGAAGAGACGATTTATAAGTCTGCTTCTTAATTAACAACCGACAATTAAGGATGTGCTACTTTTCTTGGATGAAATTAAATCAACTCTTTGGCCTTGATGATTAGTCTTTTTCTAGAGTGTGATCAATTTTCTATCCGTATTCCAGAAAATTTATCTGGCGTATATCGTGATGTCGTCCAATGTTGGTCTCATCAGTCGTCAATGCAGACGTACGTGCGATCGTTACCAGTTTTTCGACCAAAAAATAGCCGTGGAAAAGTTAACTGGTTTGGTTTTAGTTGGTGAGACGTTCAGCAACCATCGTTCTGAAAATACAGGTAAATTGATACAATCATATTGACACGTTACAGATGCGAAAGCAACAAATCCTCCAACAAAATATTACATTTCGTCCCTTCAGAAGTTTCATTGTAATATATGTCAGTTGAAAATGGAGAATGCAGTAGATATGGTATCTTTCACAAAAAATCTTCTATGCTAATGATTGTTTTTTCACTCCAGCGGGAACACTTCAAAAGTGAATGGCATATCTGCAATATAAACCGTTCCTTACGTGGTTATTGTCCATTAAATCTTGATTTATTCGAAACTTTAAGACAAGAGAAAATAGAAAATGTTTCCGATAAAAATACCGTCGATCAAGTTGGAATGAGTCCAATTAATTCACTATCATCAACTATAGAGTCAAATATTGACAACAATAACTGTGATAATGGCACATCACCTAACACAGTTACTAATTCGTCACTTACTGCATCGTCACATAAGCAGATGTTATTTTTCCGAAATTATAATTCAGAAATAGTTGGAATAAATCGTTGTGTTTTATTTACTAGGAAGGTAAACAGTTTTCAGAATAATACTGATGATAAATTTATTCGATATGGTATATGTATACTTATACATATTTTCAATACGTAGTTGCGCAGCGATTCAGAGGTTGACATTATAGCCATAAAACTAATTTATTTATTTAAACGCATAAACATTAGTACGAGGAGGCACCGAATAATATGCTCCACACAAGTCATTCGATTTGTGCGAGGGCTGTGATACTGTCCGGGCGCCCAAACTAAAGCAGGTGGTCTTCTTAGAGAGCCATACCCCGAACCTTTGACCTAAAGGTCTAATCAACAAGGCAGTGGAGCAACCTCAGGAGATTCATTCCCATGGCAGCCGGTGACCAACAGTAGGTTCATACGCTATTTGTTCTCTCAGGAGCCTAGAGCCTATGTGCACCATTGGTTTGTAATCGGGGTTTTCCAACTGCCCTAGGTGTACCCTCCGTGTCCACTAACCCGGTAAGCGCCGGACATTCGTTTTTCGTCCTCTCAATTTTGTAAACAACACCCGTGGTGCGAGAAGGCAATGAGTAGGACTTCCCTATCAGTGGTTGTATTCACGTGGCCATGTGAGAGTATTTGGAGAGGAAGAGATGACTGTCACCACTCTTGGCCGTACCAGGGCATTTGGGGGCAATAGAACCAATACTGATGGTAAGAAAAATTATGATAAAATCGCATCTATTAAAACAATATACTTTATTCTCTCACGTTTCTCGTAATGTAAATGCGTATAAATGAGATTTGTAGTAGTCCTGATAATTTTAAATAGTCACCTGCGTACATTTAGACACGAGTGTTACTAAAGGGCCCAAGTGAGAGGGCAAGTTACTGCAATGTTGTAATGCAGCACGCTGTCCATTTCTTTATTTACCAAATCTAGATAGAAACAAATCGTTACTACATGTTCGGCATTTTTTCAGAAGTGTATCTTCCAATCTTATTAGTTACAGTATGACTGAATGCAGCTTCCTTTAATAATGAAACTGTGGAGCAGGTCTAGTTATTGATATTAGATAACTTGAGCAGTTCACAGTATTTTAGCTTGATGTTGTGTCTTATTACTTTTAGACTATGCCTTCAACAATGGATGAGTTGCTAGCATCTGTTTCACGTGTTCGACAAAGTCGAAAATGGGCTATTCTTCTTTATTCTGGAGGTAAATTCGCTGGTGGTATTTTTGATGGGTAAGTTACTTGAGGTCGGTTTTTGAAACAAAATTTGGGAGAATTTTATAAAGCTTCAGCTATATTTATTGTACTTCTGTAGTTTTGTATGTCGTTTATAAAAGTTATATCATGGTCTTAGGATCCAGTTTCCTTACAGTGCTAGTAGTATACACACCAGTTACTATATTTTATAGGTAATCGGAGTGAGCAGCAATATTGAATGTTGTGTATATTATAAATTCCGTGATCTGTCTAAAACGTACTATTAACTGCAAATAAACAGGCTCACGAAGAAAGGAGGATGCCGTAGGGGGATGTGGAGGCAATGCATAGTAATTAAGATAACGCTCTCAATTATGTACGAAGCGATTGCTCTTCCGTACAAATACCACATCTGCCACAACTTAAATGAACATCTTGACGTTTGTACTTCACCGTATGTTTTCTACGAAGGTCCGTTGATTGTATAACGGGCTATGTATTGGAGATAGTATTTGTGTTACTAAGAATGCGTTCATTAGTTACAGAATTGACTATAAGAATTGGAATGAATTGGAAATGTATTTGATCAACATAGTGGTTGTGTTGTGAGGTCACTAATATCCCACATATGCACAATAGACATGTCATTGTTCTTCAATAGAATTTCTTTGGATGGCCAGAGATTATTTTCACGATGATTATTTTATTTTATTTTATTTAAACACATATATATATATATTGGTACAAAAGGGCACCAGGTACATATGCGCCACACAAAATAATGAAAGTAGGAAGAGAAAGGATGAAAAGATAAGGCGGACTGAAATGTAAAACCAGAAGACTCTTTCAGTTAGGAAAGTTAGAACCATTCTTTATGTAGGAAGTAAAAGAAGGTTGCAGCAGGATCGCCACTGGCTTCTATTCTGAGCCATATCTGATAACGTCTCTAGCCACTGTGTTGCACCATCTCTCGGACCCCAGCCAGGGAGTCGTGAAGGACCAACAGATGATAGTTAACTTCTGTAAACTCTAAACACTTCATATTCAAACGAATGGTCTTGCTTTTCGACAACGCTTCAGGAGTTACTCTTGTCTCAGAATGCCTAGTATTTCCATAATGCAGAAAAAATGTATCTACATCCCTCTCCAGTTCGTTGTGTTGCAGTACAAATGAAATTTGTAGCAGTTTTCATAGTCTTGACAAAACTCTCTTCTTGACCGTTAAAACAGATATGTATGGGAGCAGTGTACAGATGTTTTCACCTTATGCCGTTCGGTCAAGCGGTAACAGAAAATGCTTCACAATGCAAACAGTTACCAGTTACTAATACTGTAGGCAACTTTTACAACTGGGTACTTTTCTCAATGCTTGAATTGTGAAATCAGAATTTGTTTCATCAGGTTTTAGAACCCGGGCTTACTTACCGATGCCCAATCATAGTTCTATTCATTGATTTTAAGAGAGCATTCAAGTTTGTTGATCGAGAGGATTCTTATCCTTACTTGTAATTAAATAGCGTACCTAAGAAGCATATAAACTTTATAAAGGTTCTATTCAAACACTTTTAGTTGAATTACAAATGACATGATAATTACTACTGAAAAATTGCTCTTGCTTCAACGCTTATTCAGATGAATCATATTCACAATCATTCGATAGTATTCGTTTTTATTTTTATTTGTTATTTTTCTTTTATACTACGTCACTTATGTACTCCCTTTTATTCCTATCTTGCGTATTATGCTTTTCAACTTAAATAACAGCTCGCCTATGGTAGAAACTTTGTCCTATCTAGACGTTCTCAAGTCAATGACTAGTCGAAAGTTGAATTCTACCGTCGATTACAAATACTGAAACAGTCTTTCTGAAAACATGTATACCATTCAAACTGCCTTTCTTCAACATTCGCACACTAATGCAGATCGGACAACAGATAGAATTGACTATGTCTTTATAAAGTTTCAACATCGGTATCTGTTATCTATCCGAGACCCTTATTCAAGACTCTGATGAGGTTCTACAAATTCGCTCTCCATCTGTCGCTCCGAGAAGCTTGTTTTACGCGCGTTTACCCAGGGACCCTGTAGCATCTTCGTCTGGTTTTTCTGGCGTTGGTGTCACACTAGGCTCTAGAGCTGAGACAGCACTAATCGACTGGATCCCTATCAACAGTCGGTTATGTGCTGTTAGATTAGAAAGTTTCATCAAGGTGCAAAGAAATCGGTGTGACAAACAACGTCTTTTCATCATCTTCACCTACACCGATAGATTACAGTCTGTATGCGATCAAGGATGAGTCTTATCACCAGTTAACTGTTATTCTTCAGAAAGTGCGTTCGACAATTATTTTAGTACTAGCCGGAGACTTAGATGCTTAAGTCGGGCGTCTAGGCACAGAAGAGAGTCGTTTGGGTGGTCTATGGGGACTTGTTAATCGCAGGTAAGATAACGGTGACTGTTTACTGCAACTGTGTGCAGACTACAATCTGTTTCTGGTTAGTACTAACTACTGGCACAGTCATCGCTGATGTGCTACCTGGCATCTTCTCTCTGCATTTCAAGCCCGGACTCAGATTGATCGCATCGCGATCAGCTACGGTTGGTGTAGTTGTGTACAAGACTGCCGCTGAATTCAGGGCTAGCTACCTAAAAGTATAGATCAGCATTGGCTTCAGTTGCATGACGTCATGAAGATGGTGAGTAAAGTCGCTTGCTGCTCCGCTTGTGAGCACTGGGTTTCATCAGGCTCTTTACACTTCATTGAAGCACGTCAGTCTACCCTGGGTGACCTCGAATTTGACCATAAACGAAGGTTGTTATGTAGTGAGATTGTGCAAAGCTTGAGTAAGGACAGAGAACCTTGGTTATCGTTTAGTGAACGAATACTCATATGGGGAAGGCCAATTTACTGTTTAATGCAAAATTACAGATTGCTTTCATAAAATATGAAAACCATACATCAAATACTTTATTCGCACATCTTCCATCAATTGTCTCTTAAAAACTTCATCGTTCCTTCACTTCTGCTATTACACTTACTTTCTCTTTACATTCCTGTTCTCTTCAGTTTAATCTTCTGAACTTTCTGCTTCCAGGCATTCTAATTCTGATTGGTGTTACTTAATTACTGCTTATGTCTGTCGGTATAAGTAGCATACATCACAGTCGGAGCGTGCTAGTGAGTTGGAAACAGCAGTTGCATCTGGCAACTACCGGTAGCTCTTTCGACTCACCCGAATCATTGGCAGAAAGAAGTCTAATGTGCGTGAAAAGATTTGTGAAGATGGCAGGATGTCAGTCAATAACACCTACCGACGTCCTGGACGATGGGCAGTTTTTCAAATTGCAGTTCAACTGGTCTGTTGTCCCGGTGACATCGATCAGACTATCCTTCTTTTCATGGCTGGTGACGACTGATCCACCTAACGAGACGGAAGTCCGCAAGGAACTCCGACTCCTGAAGCGCTACAAATCACCAGGCGCAAATGACTTACTTCTAGCCCTTTTTAAAGATGGTGACGAATTTCTGGTTAGGGAACTGACTGATTTGTTTACAAAGTTCTGTTTATTAGAGAGTATCCCAACATCGTGGAATCAGTTAATAATTGTACTTATCTTTGAAAAGGGTTCACATTGTTTCTGCAAAAACTTCGCTATGATCGATTGCAGCCTCTAGTAAAACTGATCTTTATCGTCGTCATTGCTATCATTGATGGGTGCATAATATTGGTTAACATTCATTGTGATTCTTTCCTACTTTAGTTTGAAGGACGTTTTGGTGATCCCAGATCCATGAAATTTCCGTTCTATAAATGTTCTTCATGCTTCTTTTGACAGCATCAGTACAACTCCCTTGGTGTGGGGAACATTTTCTTCCTCAAGATTAGAGGGGAGCACTATCTCTCTCGAATCTAATATTTTCTGTTCAGCTTGGGTTCAATGAGTTCCGAGAACCACCAAGTTATATCTCCTCATTTCCATAGCTATTTGATTGCTCCTCATGGTCTCGCACGTTGTCCGAACGTTCCATATACCTATAGAAATTGTTGCTCTGGTTGTTTTTATATGGGGTATCGGCCTCGTGACCTCCAAAGAACTTTGGCTTCCATCATGAAGCGTCATAATTCTTCTGAATGAATATCCTTGAACTTTTAGGACAGAGTTTAAATAGTTTGAATGGTTTTCTTCTGGTTATTATTTTTTGTAGCAGGGTTGTTTTCTACGGGATGGGGTTGCTGATCCCATGCCCAACCCTCCTCCTTTACTCGGGCTTGGGACCGACAGTAACTCTAGAAGAGCCACAGGCGGAGTTACAAAGGCATAATTAATTAACTGCCATTTACGAACGTTAAACCTGTATCTGCAGCTCACGGATTAAATGAAAGTTAACAGTTAAGTCCCTATAAAATTGCCATAGGCCAAACACTTAAAGAATACATAGTAAAAATCTATATAGTAAGCCACCTTTGAATAGTTTTTAAAGTTCTACCCTTTTGTATATTCGTCCAAATTGAAAACATGGTTTTTTATTTTACTTGGTTCAACCTATGTGACAAGGTTGAGGAGTTTGCTCTCTCAAGATTTTGTCATGTGACCATGGCCTGATTGCTTCTGCCATGAAAGTTGGTGTCATGCTAACCACAAGAATAAAGGCAACATTAATCAAATGAGTCTCTGGTAACAGTCCTTTATGTGCGATTAAATCAAAAAGCTTCATCAAGGTGAAAAATACACTGTGGCGAATATTGTCTTTCTATAATCTCTGTTGACGCCTCAACATATTGGAACTCGGATACAAATGAGACCGATTTCTACTATTACCTGAGTGGTATTTTCGAGAAAGTACAGTTGACAGATGTTATAATCATAACTGGAGATTTGAATTTTCAGTCCGAGTGTCTACGCACAGAAGAGAGTCGTTTGAGTACCCAATGAGAACCGTATGTTTGCAGGTCAGTTAACGGTGACCAATTCCTCTAGCACATAGCAGAACACTACATATTTCTAGCAAGCACATTATTTCGATACAGTCGCCACCGAGGTGTTACTTGACGTCCTCTCTCTACAACTCAAGAATGGATTCAGATTGATCAGATCGTGACTTGTTACCACTGGTGTAGTGGTTCCCGAGATTCCCGCTTCTTTTGGAGTGCCTATCTGAACTCTGATCACGGTCTAGTCTGTTCCAATCTTATCTTTTTTTCATTTACCAATAAATTTGTTATTTGGAAGAGATTTACGTAGGCGAGATGGCTGTATCTTTTGTTACAACCACAAACCAAACCGAGCTAAGTCCAGTCCTAGCTATTGACCAACCGAAAGTTATGGATGAGGACTGGCTCCATTTGCATGAAACCATCGAAAGGATGAGTAAATTCTCTCGCGGCTTTGTAAACCGTAATAATAATGAGTTTTAGGTTTCCACAGGTTCCTTATGACTTTTGAGGCACGTCCATCTATTCAGGGAGTGAGTGGGAAAAGTAGAGATGCAAGCAGTTCGTGATAAGCTGTGTGGTATAATAGGAATTTACATAAACTGACAGCTGTCGGTCAGTCACAAATTCCTTATTGTAGTGCTAGATATAATGTATCTCAGTGATGTAAGACCTTATCAAAGTCGATTATCATCATAATGCAGTTCTTTTCTAAATTCTTAGTAAAAGTTAGAGGAACTCGTGAAACTGGAAGAAGACTCTCTTAGTTGTATTGATAGTTGATTTGTACTTCATATTCTGTACTGTTCTTGTTGATCTTTCCCTTCTTTGACTGCTCTCTTTAGTACTCCTTTATTTCTTCACAGCGTGATTTCTTTATTTCCTGTGCCCAGTTGTACCAGATTCTCTGTGTTTTAAATAAAGTAAATGAATAAAAAGTGGGACTATTGAGGGTGGTGACAACTCAAAAATCAAATTATTCATATAATACGAGGGTAGGTAATTTTGGTTATCAAATTCAACTATTGAGTTAAGATAATGAAAGACAAGTCTAAACACATGACTTCGGTCTTATGGGCAGTTAGTTCGTTATATTTCTTTGGTATCCAAATGGATGTGCATATGCTGGGTGCCTATCTTCTTTGCTATGAAAAAGAATTTTCGCTTTTCCAGTTAAACAATGATGTATTACACAATATATTACAACAAAGAAACAGGGAAAGATTATGAGAAGAAATTATAATGATCAAAGAGGGGATAAAAATCCCCTCTGAGAATTACATTTCAAAAGCTGTTCTTATTGCTTAATCTATTTTGTCGTTCCAGTTTATTTGAACCAATAAGAATTGGTACAAGGGGGCACGAAATACATATGCTCCACACAATAACAATGAGGCCAGTAGCAGTTATTAATTTGTGTGAGGGCTGTGATACTGTCCGGGCGCCCAAACTAAAGCAGGTGGTCTTCTTAGAGAGCCATACCCCGAACCTTTGACCTAAAGGTCTAATCAACAAGGCAGTGGAGCAACCTCAGGAGATTCATTCCCATGGCAGCCGGTGACCAACAGTAGGTTCATACGCTATTTGTTCTCTCAGGAGCCTAGAGCCTATGTGCACCATTGGTTTGTAATCGGGGTTTTCCAACTGCCCTAGGTGTACCCTCCGTGTCCACTAACCCGGTAAGCGCCGGACATTCGTTTTTCGTCCTCTCAATTTTGTAAACAACACCCGTGGTGCGAGAAGGCAATGAGTAGGACTTCCCTATCAGTGGTTGTATTCACGTGGCCATGTGAGAGTATTTGGAGAGGAAGAGATGACTGTCACCACTCTTGGCCGTACCAGGGCATTTGAAGGCTACTTTTCTAGTCCAAAACATGAGAGAACTGACTGTGTTGATATTGCTCTCGATTTTGAGTAATTGTGATGATTTTGTCTGGTACACATTCTGTTAAATAAATGAATTAATAAATAATTAAATTCGCTCGACATACTATAAGGTACATTAGCCTTATTCTGTTCAATATACCTTCTATTTATTGCACTAACTTTATCCTGTCTTCGTTTTTATTGTTTGAAACATCTCTGGGACCCTTTGGGGTCAACATTTTCCCCATCTTTTCGTTTTACTTCTCATCATCCCTCACTCTGTGACTTCAACTCAGTATCGTACTCATAGAACCATGATCCTGTTTTTTTAGCTATTGTTTTGATGCCATCAATTATGAAACAATTTTTGATTGTAGACTCAAGTGTTCTGCTTAAACTGTATACACAGACAATTTTCTCAAGTTCATCTGATCATCTAGGTAGTGAATTGGTAATCGGAATGCCCATGAAATCTCACGCGTTTTAAGTTCTTATCATTACATGGAGTCCACAACTAACAACCTTAATAGCAGAGTTTGCGTAATTACTGAACAAATAATAATAATCTCTGAGTCCTTTTGATCAAATAGTTCATCTTATAGAATGCAACATACCACTTAATATATTTTCCGCGTTACAGCATGTCAGGCTTAAGATTTTCTTGACTTTTAAAATGAACCCAAATTAATGTTATACAATAGAAGTAAATCAATTAGTCTTCATCAATCACTACTGTCTTATCCCCGAATATGTTTGTCATTATGTTTTTTTCACTTTCAAAGAACAAACGAGGTTGTTCATAAAACTTTGCACAGTTATACAGTACGCGCTAAACAAGGTGGTGGTCAATCATCTTATGATTCACAATGTGGTGGTCTTGGTGGGGCGAAATCAGCTGGAGCTAATCTTCGACGTCATGGTGAAGCAACTATTCGTAATGTAATTATCGTTAATAATTATTATTGCGTCATTGTTTTACATACCCATTTCTTAGTGATTATGGTGATTTCTATATAATTACGCGAATACGAACTTCTCAAGTTTTTGAAGTAGCATACAATAATCCGTTGTTACCGCTTGCAAAGTAAGGGAAGATAGCAAAGAACTGGCTTATATCTGAAAAAGTTTATGTTGAGTGCCTTGGTCTTTTTACTTGATCAGTAAAGTATATTCACAGAAGCGAGAAAATCAGGATTGAAATCATATGGCCTATTGGTTAAAAGACTTGATTTCTGGCCAATGAGCTGTAGATGCATCTAACTCAGTTTAGGTGACTACATGTGGTGTCACTTTCCTTTGCAATAAGTATGACTTGAAGCCATGTACATGGACCTGTACTTGATTGTCAAGTTGCATAAAAAAATCCAAATCATGATAAATTAGTGAGACATATCATCTCAGTTCCAGTAAGAAACTGTGACCATTGAAGTTCAACCATATAGGATGTAAAGCAATTACCCACTACTGGTAATAGATGACTGCGCCATTTTGCAAATCGATTTAAATTGATTAAAGGATTTGTGCTCACTTAAACACCTGAAGTTTTTGGGTTCGATCTCGCATGAGATCGTGAATGAGCAGTGCTACTGAATAGAAGCAAATTGGATCAAAATAGCAGTCTAATACTCTTGGGTGTTCAGTTGTTGTTAATCCATGATGAAGACTAGATGTTATATCCCCTGGTGAATTATGAATGGTAAATCTAAGGTCTATTTATGGACTAGAGCAGCGTTTTAAAAAGAGTCAGTTGGATTTCATTGACAAGTTACACGCGAAGCTACTGAATCACCCATGCTTTGGGGGTGCAACAGAAGTTGACGCATTGATTTCTAAATTGCGTACAGAACTGGAAGTCGATTGCAGAACGAATGAATATGCCGGGGAAAACCTCAATGAATCCGTTAAAAAAATGATTTAAGCTCAGCAGTTATACATGATCAGCCCAGTACTACCTGTTTCAGAGACATGCCCTATAAACGGTCCAAATCCTGTTATCCCAGAAAAAGGACGTGCAAACAGTGAATTATCCTGTTCACAGGAAGACAATGTCTTGCTAAATGCTTATGAAAGTGCTGTAGTACCCGCGCATGAAGAAATGGGAAACAAATCGAGCAGTATAGTGGATACAGTGGCGCTAAATGAAACTAGTAGTAATGCGAAAAATGTTTCTAATGAATCTAATGATCAAGATTCTCTAATTGTTCTGCCAGATTTAGATTATTTTGATGATTCATATGTTCCTGTTGAAATCTCTTATAAAAATGGGAGAAAAATGTCAGATGCATTAAATGATAGTCAAGAATCCCGTACGATTTTCACAGATACTGATTATGATTCATTATCTGCTAATGAGGTTCCGAAAAAATTCAAGGAAACTGTTTCAGAAGAATCAAACGCTGGTGACCTCAAATCAATTGTCGTCGATCCTCATGATCTAGTCAGTTCTAATGGATTCTCTGTTAAATATAACAAACATGTTCTATATAATGTCACATTAATGGTAACTTGGCAATATGAGGATCCAACAGTCTTTCGTGGGGGAGGAGGAATTCGAGAAATTTAAAATCCGGATATCAACTCCGGATTTCTCAAAAAGGGAAGGTGTTATATCCCCTGGTTAATTATGAATGGTAAATTTGAGGTCTATTTATGGACAGATGTAATATACCTATTTCCTATTGTATAGTTGTTAAATAACTGACCTAATCGTATTCGTGTTCATCTTATCATAACCTTTATTTTGACCTTTGAACTATTATTATTGATTACTTCCCCCTATCCACAGCCACATTGGCCAATTATTGTACAAATGTTATTTTTCTATTTTTCGGTATAATGTGGTCTGTTTGGTTAGTATATAAACCCAGTATGCTTGTCAATAATGATTCATATTGCCGAGGCTGTTATTTGTGTTCTGGACTTAACTGGCTGGGCTAGGCAGAAAGCAGGGCCGATACGCATTCAAGACTGCTCGTACGATTTTATGTATCATTGCGCCGATCAGTAAAATCCATTACCTATCTAATTGGACGTTTATATATTAAGAGGGCATACGTTATAACACTAGATTTTGCGATAACGGATGCGTTAAAACTCCACTCACACATGAAAAATAAGTAAATTTGAAGCAGTAATTTGTCGAGTGTTTGGGAATTATTGCATTCGCAAGTGATCTGTATCCAATTAAGACACTCACAGCACAAATCTGAATAGTAGATTTATAATTAATTTATAATAATTTGGGAACAGAACGATATGTAATAATAGTTAATAATTCCATCCAACCTTGTTATGGCTCTTTACCCGAACATTGTTGATCGAATCAGAACTTATAAAAACTTTCACCAGAATCTTCAATCTCAAGTGGTGTCCGTTAGAGTCCCCCACTGTCTCCCTTCTTATACAGATTCGTCATAGTTGTCCTCTTAGAAATAACACCACCTAGCTTTTCAGGAGTTAATATCCTACTAGGAGATTCACTTATCGACTGCAGATGATATAACCTTATTCGGTGAAGACACTGACAAGGTATATCCTTTTCATTACTTTGAGGAACAATGCAAGCATGTCCAGGATGCGTTTGCCTCCTTATAAATGTAAAATGCTGTTTCAGTATTGGTTCGCACAAACTCCTGACCTGGTAACGGTTGAGTGTGTTAACCACTTCATTTACCTTGAAAGTCGCATCATCCCCGATGAGTTGGTGATGACTGACCGACTGAATTCAGTGTCATTTCCAGAACAGACGTTAAGCTATATGACTTCAAGTTCTCGAAAGGTCCACAGTAAATGACATCAGTCTTGTTTTTCTATAGGTCTAGCGACGCCATTTCAATATCTGGTAATTTATTATCCATATGTCCAGTACGTTGAAGTCGTCTTAGTAAAAAGTTAGAACAGTTATCTTGAATGACTAGATGTAACCATTTAACATGTCAGTAAAAACTGGAAAGAATTAGGTTTGAGACAACAGCGATAACAAATAAAATGGGCAGAGTAAGAGTGTCATAGACTTGAAACTCCAAGGTATTAAATATTACTTCAATATACCAGTTAGCATACTTACTTTTCTTAGGAAGAAACTAATATACAACTCGACAGTTTAGTTATCTTGTTAGTTGTTACACTGATTCTGTAAATTGTATAGATACACTAAGTTATTAATTAATCAGTGGCAAGTTCTGATCAATTCGATGTATTCATGTTTACCTATTGACCACCAGTTAAGTGAATCATATATAACTTGATGTAATGTTGATATAGTTCTTGAACCAGTGGTTAGTACATGAATAAATATGAATCTGCAATCTTCCTTCTTTGCATCAAACCGTATCAATCCTTGTTCCACTGTACAAGACAAGTCATAAATAGTCATATCAATATTTTGTCCAACTACATCGGTCATAACACTTTATGAAGATACAATAACTTTTTTGTGTCTATGAAATCAGATGTAGTGACTGTAGTGCAACGTATGTAGGTGAAACATCAAGGCAACTGAATTTAAGGGTGAAGAAACATAAACAATGCTTGAAACACATTCCTAAATCCTCAGATGATGTAAGGAAACTGGAGAACAAATCAGCGATAGCATTACACTCGATAGAATCGGGTCATACAATTGAGTTCGACGGCACTAGAATTCTTCAAAAAGCTTTCAATTTTTACAAGGAAAGATAAACAGCCGAAGCCTTATAGATATGGGCTAATCCAAACGGTATTAATAGGCGGGATGGAACACCATTAGCTGTGCCATGGCAGCTAATCATTAATAATTAAAAACCTAAATTTCTTTGCGTTTTATCTATCACGTATTATCATAGTGACAATTACATTCAATTATTCTAATCAGTTGTCTTATCGGAACTTGTTAAACAATTAATTGGAACATTAAAATAACACATATTCGAAAAATAGTTTATTCGGAGAATTGAAGTTATAAATAGCTGCTTTGTTCAATTCAATGCATTTCAAGATACTTTAAATAGTAGATTGACCTTAGCTAGATACAACCATTGAAAACAAGAGAGTACTGAAAAGCTTTTATGTTCTAGTTACGGACTCATCTGAGGCTGAATCTAAAATTCTCAGGTCCATTGGCGAACGTATTACCTTTAAACTACTAAGTTGTCACGTATCAGTTAGTCACTGGATGCTTTTTCAATTTCTCTTGATTAATTTTTTCTTTCTAAGATTTTCTTCTAAATTTTTTTTAGGAAATAAGTGATCTTTTACATAATAAATGGCGTGTTCTGTTACAATCTTGTCAGCTGATATTTTTGTGGTCTCCTAAAGTACATCGAAGTATATTTTTTAATCCACCTGTATCGTCCTCATCTGTGCCATCTAATCATAAATTTACCAGTGATAATATGAATGAATCAACTGACTACTCTTCGACCAATTCCAGTTATCGAATTTCCTCACCTCTTGTCCCAGATTCATTAGCTTCAAAAGCTTGTGATTGTCGACTTGGAATGACAATGGATGATCCAAGATTACGCAGAATACCTTGTCGTAGTAAACATATCACATATTTACATGTTAAAGAATTACACAAAGAATTGTCAACTTTCGATGTTTATGGTATGATACACGAAACAATTTGTTTTTTCCCCGATGACTTTATTATTATTATTGGCTTTATTCAATATTATATTTTTGGTACAATATAGAATTCTCAGCACAAAGTATTTCAACAAGTTTCCGTTTCTTACTTCTTGGTCGATCCTGACGATAAATATTGAGTGATCACCAGTTAGAAGTTAGCAATCCAGTCAATCCACATCTGAATAATGTACACTCTTTTCTTTCATATTTTCAGCAACCGCGATATCCCTGATCAAGCCTTTTGTAACCTTTACAGCGCAAGGTTGTACACTTCAGAAATGCACCTAAATAGGTTGTGCGATTAATAGCCATAATGATGTTTTGAAACAAACAAAATAAGACAACTTGTTGAAATATCTAGATGACAGGAACGGGTAGCCCAGATGTTTAAGCAGGTCGCATGATCAACTTATTAAATTGGGTTGATCAACCACTGTTAACTCAGGCTTTTTTGTACGGTTTCTATTATATTAAAACGATAACCTTATTTAGTGATAGTGTGTGATGCCATTCAGCTCGTTTATCTCATTCATTTTACGACCGTTTAGCTGAATATTCACATATTATAGTGTTTTCGTTTGAATAATGTGGTCAGATAGGATACTTATTTGTTCAAATATCAATGAATTAGCTGATAAACTATCAATTTATAACAACTATTTATTGTCCAAGTCAATTTTCAATGTAATAATTCTGCTTTGTTTTATTTTCAATCTGTAAATTGTCCAATATTGTTTTAATTAAGTAGGATTAGGTTATTCAATTGTTGTTTGAGTGTATTATGTGGTATAGATGGCTTACTTTGTAAAATTTTAACTGTTTTTAACGGATATATAGACGAAAAGGCAAACATCGGTAAGGATTGTTTATTACCAAGATAACTTGATTATCATATGTTTAGCAATAGAGGATGATGGATGTTTATCCTCTACTCTTATTGGGTCATTCGACTGTATTTGTTTTTGCAACCATTTTGGTACATGTTCACCCACCCTAATTTTCAGATCACGATTGCTCCTCCCTATGTATGTGTGACCACACACACATTTAAATTGGTAAACACAGTGGGATGTGACACAATCGTTTTCATTTCGTCTAGGTTTTGAATGAAGCATGGACCTCGTTCTTTCCTTGATTATGACTTTCGCAGCACAATACGTTTTGTTGATAACAGATTTAAGCCTTTGTTTCAATAAAAGGCTATTTGAATCACCTCTAAATGGTAAGGTGATGTAGACAGGCTTTTTCTCTACCAAGGCTACAGTAGGTCTCGCTGTGCCCTGAACTTTCCATCTATTGATAAATTTAGGTGGATAGCCATTCCCAATTAATGTCTTGGTTAACAACCTAACATCGTCATCAATAGCGTCATTTGTGCAAATACGACGAAGCCTGTTAAAAAGGCACTTTACCAAACCACGTTTGTATTGTACAGGGCAATAACTATAGTAACTAAGATATTGACCCGTCCACGTCGGTTTTCGAAAAATGGATCGTTTTATTGAGCCATCTTCTCGTCTGTTTAGAAGTACATCTAAGAAGGGAAGCTGGTCGTTCTTCTCCTCTTCACATGAAAGACTGTTATGGTTTTGGATAGTATTAAATTTATTCAATAGGCAGTTTATATCCTCCTTTCTTTCACCAATTACTAAGATATCATCTACATATCTCTTATAAAGTGACATGTTTTTGATTAAGTCTTTAGATACATTTTCTACATGTGCCATAAACACATCATAACTAACATATCATAACTAAATTTTTCTACTGAATTATAATTATAATTACATCGGATTGCTTCGTGATTCAATCTGATGATTTCCGCCATTTGTTTTCTACCCATCTCTACCATCTTTCCCCAATTTCCTCGTCAACTGTAAGTTGATTTGTTATCTGTCATAGTAGGTTGTTGCTGATGGTATCTGGGCAATAGACATTGAGTATTTTGCGTAGACGATTTTTTTATAAATACTTGTACGTTTTTGATGATGGTTGTAGTAGTTCTCGAAGCTTCGACTTCGAACGGTATATATTTATTTATATAATTGGTCGATCACTGAATGAAATACATTTTTTTAAAAGTCCATTTTTGGTTTTATTTCTACACTGTATTATCAGCATTGCTATTATTTTTGCTATAGTATTATTATTTATATTACCAAACAGTTTTACATTTTATCGTAAAATAGTTTTGATAGTCACTCTACCAATTTCATTGGTAGTTTGACTTCAAGCCTTAGTTACATAAACATGTGACATTTTTTGTTTCTATTCATCGAAATAGACTTGTTTTCTGTATTGTAGGTAAGAAAAAATAAATTACAAAACTTCTCACCATCATTATCTTGTTCACTTACTGCACTTTTTTTTAAACAGATCCTGATGCTAATCTGGAGTTTCTCAGTAAATCAGGTCGAAATCAATGGCGCAAATTATCTGAAAGCGGTGATGAAACTTTGTTAGAAACTAAAAGTGGTCGATTAATTTACGGTAAGCATTTTCTTCCCGTAGATACTACTAATGAGTAGATGTTTATCAGTTATACTAACCGATCCTTACTACTACTACTACTACTACTACTACTACGATAATATATCAAGGTGATTTATGTCTTAATCAACTAAAAATGAATTATTATCATCCGGAATTCATCTGCTTCTATTTATAATTCTCTATTTAAATGTACGATTATAATGAAAATTTGAAAGTTGGAGTGTTAGCGAGACTATAATTGATGAACGAACCAATGAACTTGAGAGGTGGTGAGTCCTGGACTTTGGCGCGAAATTCATTTATCCATATGGTTAAATAGCATTTTAGCATTATATCTGATGTCAGTTCGTGATGAAAACTTTTAACCTCATTCGGAACTTTAACTCCTAACTTTAAATTTTAATCTTAATTTCTCACACTGATTTGTACACCTCATTTGAACCTAGTAAGCAGGTGAATTTTCTCAAGGTCATTCTGGGGTTTCTTGAAGATCGTAGATTAATTATAGCCTCGCCAAAATGTTCATCATCGATTACATTATCATAAATTTGTCGACATATATGTACGCTGTCTAGTCGTTTTGAATTTCTGCTTCATTAAAATGATTTTATTACTTTTTCCAAGGTGAACTATTGTTCATGATGAAAAATAATTCCATATTAAGCTAATCTCAGTAAGATTTTCAACCAAACGTCTATTTTTTGTTGCTCACTAGTGATTGGTTTTTTAATGAGGTCTTGAATTTCTTGTGAGAAGTTGTAACTGACAAAGCCCAACCATGTCGATAGTGACTCAGCTTTACCTCCACAAGAAAAGGTGGTGTCAACTATTTACCCTTCGTTCAAAAATTCATGGCGGACAACACCAATATTGTCAAATAAACATCTTGTTTTTATTAGATGGGTCATGAATATTATTCAGAAAAGATAATTATTCATTGTGTACGACTTATATTTAATTAATTAAAGCCTTATTTCTCCCATTTTCATCACTTTATGTTTTAGGTCCACTTAGCCTACTGGCAACTAGTCCTAAAAAGAATTTATTGTCATCAAGTTCAGATACTTCTGATTTATCAGATTGTGCCAGTTCACAAGACGATACTGATGATGTTGATGATAGCAATGATGATCGAGTGGAACAAATTGTGAACTCAGAAAATAATATTAGGAAAACCACAGAAACAGTCAGGAAGGCGAAGCCAAACAGTCAATCTTCATTGCTTTCGACTCCCAAAGATTATGAAAGTAATGATGTCAAAGCAATGACTGATAATTTCGAAGGTTTGTTTTGACTGTTTATGTTAATGTGTCTTTATACTTTAAGATTATATGCGTAATATATTGTCATTGAAACAAATTATTTTATTAGGTTGCTTATATGTACAGGAATCCAATAAGTTATTTTTTCCATCATGGCTCCATATTGCCTGAAGGATCATTAAAATCCAGTCTGTAGTCTACTCTGTATTGTAAAACATGTTTTGCGAAAGTTGAAGGAATCTATATACCAGAGCATTTTGTTCGCAGTTTTTTTCAAAGCATTGTTCGGTGTACCGTAGAACTACTGAGTGAACGTCGGTGAGGTTATGGATAGTATGCTGGGTAAGTACGAAAGATCTATTGATGAGAGTGCGAATGTTGATCAACTGGGGTGTTTGAGACTTATACCTTGAGATGTATACCTTACTACCACCACCTCCTTGACGCGCTGTTTTGGGTGGAGGAGTGGATGATTGGAAGTAAGCTATGGAAGGTCAAACCATGAGATGGTATCAGTTCATGTAACCATTGGTTGTTGGTGTGAATTATGTTAGTAAATGCAGACTATGTGTTTGTAGTGCATAGAGTTATTGTGATGAATGGTTGGAGACGTTGTGTGACATTGATTTGAATCTGTCATGATGACTGTGACATGTATACTTTTTATTGTCTTTTAGATCTTGAGTAGTAGTATTCGAATCTATATGTTTTGATACCTTCTCGAACCATATTCCCAATATTTATTCAACGTTATTTTGACTCTTCTACATTTGTTTCTGTTAATTTGATATGACAAATTGGAGTTAATGCACATTTATGCCAGACTCAACGTTGATGATTACTTAATCGACCGCACGGCTGCTTCATCTTAGTTTGGTAGCTGGAACTATTCTATTCCGATTCAAGTAGTCTAAAACGGTATCCCTTTAGTCCCAAGAGTCGGTGATCATTTTTCATTCCCTTTTTGGCGTTTTAGGTTGGATATGAAATGATGATTAGTTACCAGTAGGTCTCATCTTTAAAATCTCCCCATTTGTTCAAGTTCTTAGAGCTGGGAGGGAGTTTTCCACAGCCATAACAGAATGCACCCCAAAGCCTTGTATAAGCTTCATAAATGAGGTAAAGTAAGTAAAGGTACTCATTGATGAGTGGTCCCGAAATTCCTTTATTAACAAACATCAATTTATATGATGAGAATTAGGCTTAGATCTTTTCATCGATTGCCTTATGTCAGGTATGCGCTAATGATCGGAAACGTTGAATCAGTCTACAGATAATAAACTAACTCATTTAATCCTACCACTACTTCTACTCATGGAGTATGGCTAACTGTCTTAGTAACCCATAGCGACTCTGTCCTCTGCGCTCCTTTCCAGTCGGTGATTCGTGGTTTTGTAGTCTGCCTCCAATTCTTGACGCCATATGTTCTATGGTCTGCTTCTTTTCCTTTGCTTTGGGGGGTTTAAGCTAGAGCTTTCCTTGTGACATAGTTCAGTGGTTTGTGTTTAGTTTGCGTATTTTACTAATTTCTTTCTTAGCTGGCATCTTGTTTGTTCGCTACCGGAGTAGGATGTTGCTAATGGTCTCTGACAAATAATTCGGGAGTATCTTGAGTAGGCGGCTTTTTATAAATACCTGTACTTTTTGTTGATGGTGGTAGTTTTACAAGCTCCGATTCTGTGTAATAGAACTTGTTATGACTAGTAAGTTGAACGTTTTATTCGGATCCTAGCTATTCGGATAACCCCAGGCTAGCACTACTCAGCGACTTGGAAGACCAGAGAGAAGACACGAGTATCAGAGAAGCACTTTACTACAAGGTTCAATTATGTACAGAAAAACAGGGGTTTTATAGTAGCTAAAAGACCTTGAGATCCCATAGTAACAGTATGTCAACAGCCAATCAGGACCTTGTTATTTTAGTAGCATAGCTTCTAACTAATCGCTGATTGGTTGGTCTCTTTATGAGCCTCTCTGGAGGCTCTGATAGAGTTTATTGTAAGCCGATCTAACAGAACTGCTTTAATGTTAGTGTTGGGTCATAATTATCTTAGGCTCTAGATTATTCTTTAGATGTAGGGGAGCTGCCTCTTGTTTCTTCCTTCCAGTTTATGTCTCCTAATGCGTTCGTATCTCCTGTTGTGCGTCTCAATTTCTGCGTTTAGATCCCCTATCAGTATGGTTGAGAATTCTATATGGTATTTAATTCTTCAGGGTTAAATACAGACTTTCTTAAAACTGGTCTTTATCATCTTTTCAGTGGGTGCGTAGCACTGAATGGCATTCATTGTGACCTTTTCCTTCTTTCCTTTGAAGGATATTATGATGATCCTGGAGCCGCGGGTTCCCCATCCTATGGGCACTTTTTGTGCTTCTCCGGCCAGAATCAGTGCGAATCCTTGTGTATGAACCAATTTCTTCTTCGTGACTTGAATACAACTACATTTTTCGTGAAGTTAGTTTTTTCTGTTCAGATTGTGTTTAACGAGTTTCATTTATTCCAAGTAGAGCTTGACTGTATCTTCTCGTTTCTGTCGATATTCGAATGGTTTTTCCGGTTTCTCACATTGTTCGGATATCTCATTTCCCCATATTTGTCGTTGCTTTGGTTTGTAAAAGGGGGTTCTGAACACGTGGTTCTTAGAGATTCGCAGCTTTCACGATGAAACGTCATAACTCTTGTGTGTGAAGACCCTTCAACTCCCATAGCAAATTTTTGCCAGCTAAGTTGGCTTTATCTAGTTAGCGTCTTTGTAGCGCGGTTTTCTCCTACGAGTTGGTGTTATTAATTGTAATTCAACCCTACCTATTTTCTTGAACTCAGAATTCTCAGCAACTCTTGTGGAGGAATAGTTCTGCAATTTTTTTATTGTGTATTTATTAGAAATTCCGTTTATGACATTTTATGACACCCGTATTGTAAGTTTCCATTTCTTTCATGAACTGTTGGTATATGTTATGCTGTTATTGTACTATTGTTAATTCATTATGCATCTATTATTCCGCTCGGTATCATGTATCTACTCTGGTTCGGTCAACCGAGTAGTATCGTTAGCCTTCACATTTAGAGTGTGGCTCTTACCAGGTACCTGGTGAATGAGTTAATAAAAAAACGTGGTGCGTTGTTGCCGTATATTTGATGCATATTAACATGTGCGCTTTTGAATCATGGAACATTACAATAATAGAAACTAAATTGATTGATTATCTTCTTGTTCTAACTGCGCTTCGGGAATATAATCTGCGCAGACTAGCAGTTGTTAAGATATCCGAGTATTGTTGGTAAACATTTGTGTTATTGCATAAAGTAGTAGGCATAAATCGTGTTGGAATAATTGTTTCCAACTTTAATTATAATTGATCTTATAGATTCGTATATATTCCACTGATTAATTCTTCAAGTACGGTTAAATTTATTTCTACCCGAGCAAATTAACTCAACAAATCACACCTTATCAATCAAACCAGACTCATGAAAGGAATGTGAATTGATTGAGTTTGTTTTGAATATCAATATTGTGTACATAAGTATTAAATTATTAACCGACTATGTCTACAGCAAATAGGAGAATAGATAAAAAAAATACTAGATACGTAAATAGTCGCACACATAACTGGATATACAATATAACAAATATCGTTACAATAGTTTGTATCAGTGTACCATATCACTTCACGATGCAACTGTTTATTTGATAAAGTTTGTAATTCAAATGTACAATAAGAGACAATAGCTCACCACAAGCGAAATCCTCACAATTAGGTAGTATGAGAAGATTGAATTTATAACTTCTTTAGTTATGTAACATACTGATAATCACTTGAATTTAATGTAGATAAAGCTTAAAAATTCATCGGATATTTACAAAATGACACTTTTGTTCTGAGTAATATCCAGTAGGGCACTATTCACGCAATGGTGCATGCCTCAATTATAATCCTTCTACCTGAAGTTTGTGCTGGTGATATCGTTCAGAAGAACGATGAAAGTTCCACAACCACACCATCTAGCTCAGAGAAAAAACTTCATCAAAATTATTCTTTTATTATTCCATTTTGACATAAAATGAGCACTTAGTTTGAATCTTTTTTCCTCATTCTTTTCTTGTTTTGTGTGATAAATTGCTAACGAGATTTTTCATTTTGCTTTAATTAAAAACATTACACAGATTTATATTTCACCTATCAAGGTTGGCATAGACGTTTACGTGTAGCAATTGCTTCTGGAGATTTAGTTATTTTACGCTCTTTATTACCAATGGATATTTCCAATATAACTCAAAGCGATAATTTAAATGAATTGGAGGAAACAGTTCATAATTCAACTGGTTCTTTGAATACTACTACCACTACTGCTGCTACTACGACAACTATGCTGACCGCTACTAATACATCCCCTACTGGTTGGTGTACAGTTTTAAGATGATTACTTAACATTTTCAGGATTTTTAAATGTATAGGTGTGTAGATGATATTATTTGTCCCCAGTATTGTGGACCCTCAGCTCTGATTTGGATACACTAGATATCACAATTCTGTTTTTTTTCTGGTCACAATTAGTCAGAAAGGCAGAACTTTCAGGGAATATTTATTGCTAGGGACAAAATAATACTGAGATTGGCAAGAAGCTATTCAGTATACAAATGTATTTACAATATCTTTGGAAGTAAGAAAGAAAGTCGGCACGTGGAATAAATATCGAACCGATGGTGGGGGAATTTAAAAAAATTGCGTTGATTAGGCTTTGATTATTGCTGTATGATCACAAAATGTCATTATCGATTTATTTATATGATTTGAAAGTCCCTCGCTTTAATCCCTGGTAGAGTCATGTATACTCACTTCTGAGGATTCTCAGATATCAAGATGAATCAGCTGTTCAGTGCTTCTTGCTTTTCAATAGTATTCTAACTGCTGTCAATCCCTAACTCAAGGAATGATAAGAAGCGATGGAGAGTAAGATTATTGATTAGTTCAATATGGTAAACGTTCAGTTTAATATTCGTTTATATTTCTGAAAATTAAGTTATGAACTATTTCGGTGTTACTCTACTGTATTCGAATAATTATTCGCTCAGTTTTGACAGTGTTAAGTTCGTTTCAGGTAATAATTATTTAAATGTAATTAATAATCACTGCTTCTTAATCGTTGGGCATTGTGTCGACGAGTCTTTGTTTTGCAATCGCCGTTACATTGGTATTTCCGGATTGCATAGCAAAGAACAGTTAATAATGCTGGCGAAGGTGTTAACTTACAAGTTTCATTTTGGGTGGTATCTGGTTTAAGTTAACAGTGAATTCTCTTCGGATTCATGTTATACCAGTACTTTAGATAGATCAAATTGTTCAATTTTTGTTTTGTGCTGTTTTTGTAGGAATATTATTGTTTATATTTCATTTAAGAGTTTATCTTATTTATGATACTTTTAAGAGTACTGCAAAAGCGATATTCTATAATTTCAAATAATTAATCAGAAAGAAATTTATTTGTTTATTTTTTAGAATGTATGATTAGTACATTGCATTCTCTTTACAATCAGGTTTAAATTATAATTTTATGAAATAAAATATCGAGTCAAATATCATGTGACAAAATCCTCAATCAGAATACCGACTTCTGTGACCTTGTTTCTGTGCTAAACCAATGATTCATCAACCAGCACTATCAGCCTGGAATCAGCTGAGTCCTTATTGACCCTCCGTTTAGTAGCTTCTCGCCTAATCCAGCCCGTTCAGTATATACACAAACAGACCAGATCATATTACGCCTTAGAACGAAAAATAACGATTATAAAAGATCAATCCCAAAGTGGTTGTGAGTGTAAGGGACTGTAGCTAACATAGATTGGGAATAAATTGAGGATGGTAAATCGTATTATAGTAGTCAATAAGTCAAATAAAAGCTTATGCTGAAAGGATATATATATATATATATGTATATATATATATATATATATATATATATATATATATATATATATATATATATATATATATATATATATATATGATAACAGTTCATAAATTACTCCTAGCAGCTGCCACTCATTTATTCTTCGTTCGGACATAACAAGTAACATTTCATGTGATAGGTAAATAGAGCGAAAAACAGACATTAACACGCCCATACACACACAAAACATTTATTTATTTTTAAAATGACTTAAGTGTTTATTTACTTTTGAGACATATTAAATCTTTTCATATTGTTATTAATACATAGAGTGTACTTCACCTGGATCATCAAATGTACCACCATATCGTGTTTGTTTAAAATTAATTAATCATCCATTGACTGATGGACGAAGACTTTTACATGTAGCTGTAGAATTTCAAAGTGATCCTGAACTAATTCGTTTATTACTTGAATGTGGTTGTGATCCAGCAGTTAGGTCAGTGTAAAATATTACTTTAAGTTATACATATATAAAATGTATTAATTTATGTTTCTATATAATCATTTCGTTACTCTGTTGATTTGTTGAGTATTTTTTTCGTTCTAAATTGGGATTTCAATGCTATAATGATGATTTCTTGCATACACATCGTAGAGTTCAAGCTTGCAGGTTTACATTTTTATATCAAATAGTTCATTTTGGTCAGTAATCGAATAATTTGAAAGAAATACCCATATTGTGAATTAGAACGACAAATATAAGCGAACAATGTTGTTTTCAATTAGATTTTCATCAGGCTTTACTCTAATATACAGTAATATTTATATGCATATACGAAATTACTAAACCAATCAAGGCAGTTTATTATTCAGTGAAAATAGTGGAATAGACTACATAGATAAACATAATAAGTGAAAAGTACGAATCGGTAGTGTAATGACAGGTGTATTATTTATGATAAGAATAATAAAGGCTTGTATCCATGTTTCATAGTGGGAATTAGGTCAATGATTTGAAAAACATAAATGCTGAGATGACATTCATAAAAACTATGAGATTATGTAATCAGACGTGTTCAGACAATTAGACAATGAAGTGTGTATTTGGAGAAAAATAGGTGGGAAGGGTTGGGGAAAAACAAGCGAAAAAAGAGTATAGAAAATAATAATAAATGGAATCACTTATTAAAACTAAGGGAGAGATAAAGTTGTTAAAAATTTCTCATGAACACAAAGACTTAGATTGTTGGCTCGAATTTCTATGGATTTTACTATGTGTCCACCAACCCGGTTAAATCGCCGGACATTCGCTTTTCGTCCTCTCAATTTCATAAACAACACCCCTGCAACGAGAAGGCAATGAGTAGGACTTCCCTGACAGAGGCTATATATTCGCGTGGCCATTTGAGAGCATTTCGAGAGGGAGAGCGGACTTTCCCCACTCTCGGCCATACCAGGGCATTTGGGGGCATTTCTTAAGTAAGTTGTATTAGTTTGAATAAAGTAAGAACCAACAATCGTAGCCGAATTATACATGAATTCATTTACTTCATGATTTCCCTTCATCTGCTTACAGTCTAGAAATCCAGAAAAGAAACAGAATAAATACATCAAATTTCTTTCTGAAAAGTAATCAAAGGTTTGATTTGACTTGTAGATATTGATTGATGAAAGACAATAATTTTGGGCGGAATGAATAAAAACCATTCAAATGGTTGTCTATTCAAAGGTTAAATAATATGAATAGAAAACTGAGAAGAGTATGAAGACAGAATTTATGTTGTACTTAAAAAAAACGACTAGCTGAGTAAACCTCAAGCAAGCGGCAAGAAATTAAAAAAAAACTGTAAAAATACTCTTGAAAATAATTTCAATACGTAGCAAGCTCATTAAAACTCTGTCGCTTTGACAAAGCAGGGTTCATAACCTTGTCTTTTGGGATGCAAAAATTTAATTTAAATATTTTTATAATGACGGTTTCAGTAAAGTGTGATACATGCAAAGTCCTTTGTCTATCGATTATCCCGAAAGATTTTGAGACATCAACATCGTGTCCACTTGTCAGGCAGATAACGTGTTAGATTAACTTATGATAATAAAATTTAAAACTGTACATTGCGAAAATTAGTGGAGGAACGAAATTCAGAAGTTTAGCTAGTTTTCTCTAGACCACTGTTACATTAGCAAGGAGAGTACGTCGGGTTTAGGGAATGATTGTTAAGTATCGATAATTAGATAATGTTTTGATGTATTGGATATACATTGTTGTTATAGTTTATAGATTATCTCTGCTAAACAGTAAATTGATTGTTACAGATATATTCTCTAATTAATTTTTATCAATAATACCTTTCATCATATATTTTGAATTATTTTTCACTTTACCTATGGTATGCTGCTTTAAGGTCATAACTATAATTTAAAAATTCACTTTATTTTTCTATTGTATTAGTTTATTTTATCTAATCTATTCGATTCTTCAATGATATTGTACAACCAGTTACTAATGGCCTACATTCTTTCTCTGTGATAGTGATTCGAGGGGGTAGTAATATGTTAGCTGGGATTTACTCAAGATTTAATTTTAAATCCGGTATACTTTTCCATCTGCATCAATATTCCGAGTCAGATAGTAGTATATTAGAAATCTCGTGGTGTATTTAATAAACTTCTGAAATCCTTCCATAAATATTTACAATCTCACGGTATCAAGTTTACTTGAAATTGTGCTATTACATATCCTTAATCGATAAGCTAACTTAGAACCGTATCCATTGTGAAAATTGTTTAAAATAATTAGTGACTATTTTTAAGGAAGTTAATTTAACGAACGAGATGTCGATTTGTCTATTAAAAGGCTATTAAATAGCATTGGCGTCTACTCTGCATTGCTTTATTGTTATTGAAGATGTTTTGCGAAACTTGAAGGAATCTATAGACTAGAGCGTTTTATTCGCAGCTTTTTTCAAAGCATTGTTCTGTGTACCGTAGAACTACTGAGTGAACGTCGGTGAGGTTATGGATAGTATGCTGGGTAAGCACGAAAGATCTATTGATGAGTGTGCGAATGTTGATCAACTGGGGTGTTTGAGACTTATACCTTGAGATGTGGCCTTGACCTTCTGATTATATTTGCTAACATTAATAATGATATAATTGTTAATTAATTTTTACAGCTTAATTACTATACTTATTGATATTTGATGTTATTTAGTAGTTCACATCATATTTTTTTGTTGATGAGGTTACATATATGCTACATATATAATCGTAATTTTAAATTTCTCAACCTGCTCCAGAACTGTTATAAAATCACTATGAGTTTAGAAATGATGTAAATGACGCAGTAAAAGTCGTTAAATCGATTTTAGTCGGTGCATTTGGTATTTTGTATTCGTGATTGAAATTCTGGTTTTTTATTGTTTGAGTGTGTGTGTGTGTGTTTAATACTATTTACTATTATCAAAGTTGAAACACTAAATAGTTAGATATAGAAATCTGATTAACATTTCCAGGTTGTTGTAAATTGGGTTTTTTACAAGTAGATGTATATCATATCTGCTAACTTAAATTCATTTTGATTTTACTGTTAAAAAAGTAATATGGTCTTCTTCATTGTCACTAACGGACAAACAACTTACTAACTTTTAACATTATCAGCAGTTTTTCTCTGACGATTAGTGGAGATATAGTTTCTCTTCAATCATATGATGATAAAGTGTTATTTACCATGATAATAATGGTATGCTTTAGAATTTTACTCATCAGCTGGTTATATGTTCAATGATGCTTATATGTAATAATATTTAGATATTTGTAACTGAAAAGATGTGAACAATCTAGTATACGGATGAGCTTAAATGAATTGCGACAAAATTTTAGTTATTTTCTGGCCAATTAGAAAATAGCATTTATAAATGGATAGTTTTTAATGGAGAGGAGTGTTGCGTTGTTCAAGCTATTCGAGGTTGGTGAAGCACCACTTCAAAAACCCCATAGGCTTATCTGAGTTAGAAATCCGCTCTGCAAGACTCACGAACCAATCACGTGGATGTGCTGTGGTTGGGAAATATAGGCGCTATCCAACTATTTTCTGCTTAAAATGTAAAGCCACTAGGTTAAGGCTTGATTCATTATTAGGGGTTTATGGTTTGAATTCAGGAATAATGTCGGTTAACTTGTTATATGCCATCTTAAGAGGTAGAATCAAGTGTTTTATGTATTTAGCGCTGTCATTTTTACTCTATATTTACAAAGGTATTTTTATTGCTCACTATACATAATTTCTAAATTTCGTACAATAACCTAAACATCGGATTCTCGATTCCTGTTTGCTCGTCCATAAAATATGCCTTTTACCGAAAAGGTTTACTCTTATTAATAAATTATTGACTGACAATATGCATATATCCTTTAATACTGCTTGTAATTGCGATCGATTATAAAATTTACGAATTAGTAACGAAATCAACAAATTCTATTCTGATACTTGTTCATACTGTTAGTCTGGATTTTGCTTTCTCGAACGTGTACTCTCAAAACGTTAGTTCTGAAATATCTGAATAGACAAATTAAACGAATCCTATTTATAAATTATTATTTCTTATCATTTTAGTGATGGAGATGGTATAACACCTTATCAATTAGCTACACGACTGCATAAAAAATCAATAGCCAACGTGTTTCGACGTTTTCGATTTCATCATCCAAATCGTTATGATTATGAAAAAGCTAAAGTAAGTTGTTTGGACTAATTATTTACTTACGATATTTTTGCAGTGCATAATTAGGAATGTTTTATTCTGAGTTTATTTCAAGGCTGTCAAGTGTAATGACTTAGTATTTATAGCACCTGACTTGGATCACATGTTCAAACTCCTCCTCACCTATTTCGGTTCAAGGAGTCGGATAATATCACTGGTTTTTCTACGTACCGTGCAACAGAAAATTTAGTGCGTAAACCTGTACTTGGTTAATAAGTTAGATTATCTCAAGACATATATATATAAAGCAGCTTGCCAATTAGGTGAAAAACTATTAGCTTCTACTCAGATATACCCCTTGTCTTCTTCCTACTTCTGCGTAATTGAAAAGACAGATTTTATTCTGAAGATTTATTGAAAGCGACCAATGAATATTAATTCACCTCAACAACTATCTATTTCATTTAAAGAGATTGACCATATCCTTGAATGTAGAAGAAAATTAGCATATCAGGAGTGTAATGAATTAATAAGAAGTAATATAGCTATAGCGTAATATAACCTCTTCCAGGGAAGTCCTACTCATTGCCTTCTCGTGGCATTACTGTTGTTTACGAAATTAAAAGGACGAAAAGCGAAGGTCCGGCGCTTTAACCGGGTTGGTGGACACGAATAGTCCACCTAGTGGAGTTGGCAAACCCTGATTCCAAACCAATGGTGCACATGGGCTCCAGTATCCTGAAGGAACGAATGGCGTATGAACCAATTGTTGGCCACCGGCTTCCATGGGAATACATCACCTCACGATGCTCCACTGCCTTGTGGATCAGACCTTTAGGTCGAAGGCTCCAGCTGCTTCAGTTTGGACACCTGAGCAGTATCACAGCCCTCTTACAAATCTCATTTTTGTGAGGCGCATATTTATCTGGCGCTTCCTTGTACCAATATTTATGTGTATAAATAAAATAAAAGAAATAAATAAGAAGTAAACTTTTTTCTCTGAAGTAGAAATTAAGGATAACTCTCATAGAGAATTCCGGCTTAAAATAACAGAAAATTCCAATTCACACTAAAGGGAAACTAACAAACTAATTAGTAAGTGAGCGGCATTTAAGCATATCCAACAATTAGATATGTTTATTATTATAATTATCACTTGTTCATATCATAGATCATAGGATCACAGGCCGCCCGCCAGCATTCTCCATCGAACTCTATCTTGGGCAATCCTTTCCAGAAATTTATAGTATGATCGAGACGAAACACAATTAAATCGATTTTAAGATTTTTGGGAACAAGATGTAGATAATCTCTCATTTGGTTTCTATTTTGCACAGTATTTTGCCACTGTTAAATCTGATTTTTTTTCAAAAAATTGTTTGAAAAAATATTTTCGAAATATATATTTAGATACCTGCTCCATTGGATCCATCAAAAGAGGCTGCCAAACTTGAACGTGAACGTGAACGTGCAAAACGACAAAAACAACGACAAAAAGAAAAACGTGCTGCAGAACGTACAGCTATTGAACAACAAAAAAAGGATGCCGAAGAACAAGCACGTTTTTTAGCCTTATCCGATCGCGAAAAAGTGAATATTGTTTTTACTTGATAATAGTAATAATAATAATAAGTTGAAATGTAAATTATTGGATGGTAACTCAGTGATTTAAGGACTAAGTGCTCTTCGTAATACCTAAAAGTCCTGAGGTTGATCTCCGGTGGCGGGTCGTGGATAGCCACATGTATGAGTAGTCCTATACTGGATGAAACAACGATCCTGTGCTTTCTAGTTTTCAGTAGCTGTCTCAATAAAATCAATGGTTATCAAAAAATTATTAGTCATTAGACCACGTCCTATTTCAGTGTTGTATTTATTTAGTATTGGATCATTTTGCATTTATTTGGTGTAAATCTCATTCACTTTAGCAAGCATTGTGAAATCTAATTTTATATTTCCCCTATTTCGGTTATTGGTGTCTAATAATCGAATCTCGCTAAGATTAGTATGTAATTAAATGTATTTAAGCTAAAGTATCGTCGTGTTTTTTTCTGAAGGGTGAATAAATTCCTCACTTGGCATTAATTTTTGTCTTCTTTCGTGTGTCATGGGAATCTCAGCGTTTTCATTTCGCCATTATCAGTTATAACAATAATATAAAACAGTGATGTAATGATTAGAGCGTTTTACTTCAGTCAGTTGCAGAATGATAGTTACAACTTTGTTGTACTTATTTAGGATTCGGATAGTTGAGTAGTGTCGATAGTTGTTATGGAAAATCTATGCATAATTAAAAATTATTACTATAAAATTGCACACTACTTGATTGTTTAATTTATTTCGAACAACTTATCGATATTGTGTCAAAGTGATAAATCTCATCTTGTTCCTGTGGGCTTTCCAACCCCTCTACCTTGGATACTTGATGTTAGTAGCCTGACGATCTGTTAATTTGGAAACACTTATCATTTCCAGTGGATACATAAAATCATGTTCATTACAGAATTTATTCTCAGTTTTGTATTTTAGTTGATCAAATTAAGTGTCCTTAAAATGTTTGCCAGTTTTTTTAATGTTGATTATATTTTTTCTGTAAAATGGTTTAATGTAATGACCAATTTATATAATAAGAAAATTTTTAAATTTAACAATAATACAGAGCAGATTCTTCCTTTTCTGACTGAGTACTTATATCTCTTCGCATATAGTTGGAATGTTGTTGGGAATGAAATGCATAATGTACATTTCATTCTATTCGGAACTCGTCATCTGAATATACCTACATACCAGTGCTGGTGTTGAAACCTGAACTTCATACCTGTCACTTCGGAAGCCGACTCGCTATCTACTGATCTACTGGATAACGATAGGTACTGGTTTTGAGTGACAATGTTGACACCAACTCATAGGCACGTAAATCCAGTTGATGAGTCCTGAACAGTACTAAATTCACTTTATGGATCACACAACTAGGCAAAGTCAAATTTTGCTAAAACTTGTATTTCAAGATAATATCGATGCCATCTGCTCTGAATGCAGGTATGTTAGTAGAGACTGATCAAATCCAAATCATAATGCCAACAATGGAAAAATTGAACACATGACTACAATACTTTTTTATTACCACTATTACCTGGTTGCAGTTCGAAAAAGGTTTCAGATTCTCATTAATTTCTCTTAAATATATGTATCTTTCTTACTTGTGATGAATTAAAGTCTCCTATCCATTTTTCTTTGTTTCTTTCCATTGGGTTTTAAAATAAAAAATATATACATTAGCGTGCTATCATGACAGAACGTCGTCTGATGTCTTCTAGTTCTGCCACTGGTGAACCATTCATGGTATTCAGGTAATGTCAAATATGTTTATGTGTATATCTTTATTTATTTGCAAATATTCGATGTTGGCTTAGCTGGGATTAAATCATGTTTGTTTCCCATTCAGGAGCACGTTCAATGTTTCGATGAACGATATTGGATACTAGGTTGTGTTTTTAGATGGTGTGTCAAAAATAATGTGACTCAAATTCGAGTGGATTAGTTTTTTAATGTGAAAGGATGTTTTAATCCTTAAGGAAAAATCTTGACTTTTCAGCTATAAATATGTGCAAAGATAGTATGTAATCGTCTTACTGGTTTTAATTCAGTAGTATAAAAGTGGGATGAAAATTCGATCAAGTGTGTTCAAAATCGTCGTTGCACACTGTTAAGTTGTCTTAAGTTCGGGTGAAACATCTGTTCTCTATTTTAGCTTACAATGACCTTTCACCTAATGTCATAAAATGTGATGAAAATCAATCTCAGATTACTTATTTTTCTATGTCTCTGAATTCTATGGATAGATATGTTCATTGTAGTGCTTGCTGGAGGATTTCGGTAGAAAAGGTCTGTTTTTTCACAGTTGAAATCACAAACTGATTTTAACTGGATCCTGATTAGTGGAGTTCGGTCGTTGTTAAATGTGAGACAATTATCTACCTCAAACAGCTGTTGAAGAGTTGCGCAAGATCATGGGTTGATCGAAGTTAGGCATTGACAACATTGGATGCCAGTCCAATGGCCTAGAGGTTAGGCACTTTCATGAGTGATCAAAAGTTCTGCGTTCGATTCTTGGATGCGAGGTCATCAATGCGCGCAGATGAGATGTCTCATTATAGGGTGAAACAACCACCTAGTGCTTCCAAGTTTTCAATAGTTGTCTAGCTAAGATCAGTTCGTGATTTCAACTGTAAAAACTGTCCAATTATCCACAAATCCCCTATACTAAGAAGATTTCTTGTTGTTATGAAATTACATGCCTGAGAAGAAATCGTTTGTCTCAGTTCTTAATCTCATAAATATGTATTTAGAAAAATAAATGAGTTGATTATTTTGAAAATTGAATGAGATTTCAGTTTTATTGTGCTACATTTAGTTTATTTATTTACAAAAAAGGAACCCGAAAAAAAAGTTAATATTATGTGAAATTAAGTAAATTATTGAAAAACATTTTATAACTAGATAATTAGTATTCGCTTTTCTGGTGCATAAACAACAATAATCATAATATATGAGGGATTTTTACCATTCATTAAAATTTGGACATTGTTTTGTGAATTTGAGTGGGACAGTTTACTCGTTATATAATTTCGATGGTTCTTTGGAAATTTCTTCAAAGTTTAGAAAAGTGCTGAATTTACTGTTATCAGTCAGTATTCTTTAGAAATTTCCTAGAGGTACCTTCTTTGTTGTGATTGACGATCTTGTTTTTCCGAAGCATTTAGAGTTTCAATGTCAAATATGATTTTATAAATGTCCTGCTTTTATGTACCTAGACGAACTTTTGAAGTAAAGCATCCCCAGTACTTTTAATCTGTGTTTTCTGTTCGGGGTTTAGTGTAGATATTCGGGGACTAGAAAGTTATTTTCTAAGCACTGAACTTCAAGACGCCATTTTAATGTCTCATAATGCTTAACGTTTTTTTTTACAATCTATTTGTTTCCTCATATAAATCAATTAATTTGCACTAGTTGTTTTTTATTCTTACCAATCGTAAATATTCAACCTAAAAAAGGTTAAGAACTATCATATATCAAAATTAGTCAATTATAAGCAACGTCGGGCCTAGTGTTTATGTTCAGCAATTCACTTTATCTCTCTGTATCATCATCACAAAGAGATGAATGTCTAAGTAACAAAAATGTCAATGATGGTAACAAATATTAGACATAAACAATGTAATTCGAGAAAAATGAATAAATCTATGGAATAGAAAGTATGAGATTATTTTAAAACCTAAAATTTAAAAGAAGATGAATAGTGATTGAACCTGTGAGTTTGAGATCAATTCTGAACTATGTCACTCAATATCTCCCATTCCCATCCACATAAAAATCATCTATTGATATATCTTCTCTGTTTTTTCCTGTTTTTTTCTCTTTACCTTTGTAGTCGTTGTTTTCAATGTGGTTGTGATATAAGCGGTAAAGTTCCATTCACTTATATGGATTATAATTTTTGTACATCGAATTGTTTAAAACAACATCGTTTAAAATCAATAAATAATAACAGGTAATATAGTCCGGAAAAAAATAATCACCAACCAAATACTTACCGTTTCTGATTCAAAAAAAGAAGAATTTTATTCATCATTCATGAATATTATTATTACTACTTATTTTGTATAAAATGGAAATTTAAAAAAGAAAACTGTTTATCAAACAAACTACTAATTGAAAGTAGTACTTGTATTATTATCTTCATTATGATGAATGAATTGTATATTGTAAATGAATGAATTCAATTGTTTCTTTAAGTTGAATAGTTAATCTCAATCATCATTATCGTTGTTATCATTTACTATTTCTATTTTGAAATGAAAGAATAAATCTGAATGTAATGTATGAATATTCTAATTGATCGAGCGTTTTGTTTTGTTTTGCTTTGCTTTTTGGAAGTAACCAAAATCTAACGGACTCATCAATGTTGTTTGGATAACCGATGTTGATTGTTTTTAGTCATGTATAATGTTGTGTTGTACAGTAAAGAATTTTATTAATCATTATGATTTTCAGCTGTGTGGCGCATATATATCTCGTGCCTCCTTGTACCAATATTTATGTGTTTAAATAAATAAATAAATGATTTCCAGTTGTTAAAATGAGTAAATAGAACAATGATCAATGAATGGAATGCATTCATATGATGTAGTTACTCAGGGGATCAGATTATTGACTCAAAACTCTAAATTAGTTAACAACAAAGACAAACCCACTGTTATAACTTGTGAGTGTGTGCTTGCCCAGTTCATATATGACGTTATGAGACCGCCAATTAGCGAGCAGTGAAATTATTGATCGCCCAATGTTACACAAAAACCCGTATGAGCAGTCTTGAGCACTTATTAGTCCTGTTATCTACCTAGCCCAGCCAGTTAAGTCCAGAACAACAATAACAGTCTCTGCAATATGAATCATTATTCTCAAACATACTGGGTTTATATACCAAACAAACAGACCACGTCGTACCATAAAATAGAAAATAACATTTGTACAAAATTTGGCCAAATGTGGCTGTGAATAGGGGAAACAGTAATTAATGGACTAAGGATAACTCCAGAATGGTAAATCGTATAATATTAGTTCATAGGTCAAGATAAAGCTCATCTTTGCTGTGTCCTCTTTTTCAAATTGTTCTCTTAGGAACACATCAGAAAAAATTAAATAAAGCTATGAACTACGACAAACAATCAATATTTAGTCAATGAACCCTCAGATTGCGTTAGGAGATAATTATTAATATAGCCATTTTTTCATGGGATTTGTCCATACAACTTATTTTGAGTATCTTACGTCTTACTCATAGTCAGTATGCATTTATTTTCATAATTTCATATTCTTTAGTGTTTTCGTTACAGACCATCCCAAAAGTTTATCTTGAGCTATCAAATTTTAGTCACCATCTCATAATCACAGAGTATTAGGGTAGTGTATAAACTATCCTTAACCACAGAGTAACAGAATTGATCAAGGAACGGAAAAGTACTAAGCTAGTCGAGTAATGGTGAAATAAACTTATACACTATCTCAATTTGGTTTCAATAAAATTATATTTCCAACATTGTCCTTCCCAACTAGTACTCCGAAAACCCGATCACTTGTTCAATTCTATTTAATCAGCAATCGGTCTACATTTATTAGGTATGATAAGCTTTGAGATGACGCTTGTTATGTAGTTCTATTCTTTTTCTAGTGGTTTTTGCTGTTCTTGTTTGTAATTTCTTTTTACAACATTTTAATTTAGTGCCCGATTTTAAGTTTTCTATGAATATATTTTTCTGGAAATCCGATAGTACGTTTCGACACATGACATTGAACATCAAAACTTATCTCTTCATTTATACTACTCATAGTTGAAAGCGTGAGTCAATTGAAGCTAGACCACCATGGAAAACCTAGACGATCATTTCGTCCTAGTGAAATTCGAACCGAGGACCTACCAGTCTCGCGCAGAGCACTTAACCTCTTGGTCACTGAGCCGGCATACAACGGTGTTAATATCCAACTTAAACCGATCCACGAAGTTGAGCAACCGTCCAGTGCTTCCAGGTTTTAGATGGTGGTCTAGCTTCAATTGAATCACGCTTTCAACAATGAAAATTCTAAATCTTCTGATGATTATACTACTCAATTATAATAAAGTAGATTGTATCCTTTTATTTAAAAAATCTAGAAAATAAGACAATATTAACTTCCATAAAAATAATTAAATGATTGATCAAATTGAGTAATTCTAGGAGAGAGGTTTATAGTTTACTAAAATAATAATCATCAATGTAATAATTAAACTGAAGTATTAAGCTATTGTTGGAGAATGCTGGTCGGCGGCCTATGGTCCGTTGGGAGTAACAGGCGTAAGTAAGTAATTAAGCTATTGTAGATTTTATAATTTTATAACACATTAAATAATTGATTGAATCACATTTTTCATAGTTGATTTTCACTTGACCTATTCTATAATCAAATGACCATGTAATACCAAATTTGGTTGAAGAATTAGTAGACCATTCATCACATCCAAAAGTAATACCACCTCCAAGCCAGAATTTTCTGTATTATGAAAATAAAGAGAATATTTTATTTGAAATCATTTCAATGAAGTTTATTTTTGATTAATACAAACACTGATTGTTTTTAAAGGCGTCTTTTACTTAGTTATTCTCTGCTCAAACACAATACTAATGAATGAATTAAGCTAGTTGTGTAATCTGCATCATAGTAACCCAATAATAAATAGACCAACTTGTTGTGACTTTAAGGCCGGCTAGTTATCATGTTATTTATTCACCAATCGAAATACAACGTATTCAATCTGAGTATTGTGCCGAACCAATCACGTTCGACCGGTATGAGCAGCCTAGCGTCCTCATTGGCCCTTTGTTCTCTTAAATCATCCAGTTAAGTTCAGTAAGCCAATAACAGCTTACACTATGCGAATTAGTTATTTCAAACATACTTGCTTAACATACCAGCCAAACAGACCACATCACACCATGAAATAGAAAATAACATTTATACAACATCAAGTCAAAAGTGGCTGTGATTGTGAAAGACAGCAACTAATAAGTTGGGAATATCTCATAAATAGTAAATCAGATAATAATAATCTATAAATCTAAATGAAGCTTATAATAAGGTGAATATGATTATACATAATGTAGTTACTGAATAGTTATACAATAAGAATATATATATATAACATAGGTTCATTAATAGTTTTCATAAGTTACCCGTAATTTAATCTTCACTAGGATATAACACAACTGATCTAAATTAACTTTTAAAGCATGTAAATATCGTTTGAATGTGATGTTCGTTATTCGGCAAAAACCTTTTTTATTAACTTTGACTTTTGATGATATTTGAATACTATGATTTTGTCTTTTAAATAGGCATACTTTCTGATAAAAAATTTCTATCAAATACTTGTAACTACTTGAAATTGTCTATAAATTAGAATGTGTCAAATGTGATTTATCGGTGTTTGAGAATAAATTATTGTAATTAGAAGATTAATTTATGTTAATATTCGCTGAGTAGTGTATATTTTCCTACCTACAATGTATGTAGGTTTACTAATACTGAACATCTATTTCAATCACAATTTACTTACATAATTTATTAAATGTGCTAATGAAATGGGTTGAAGAACCTAACTCATACAGACGTCGTTATTAAATAACAGTATCTTTTAATGTTGATTTTATCAATCAACTTGTAAGGTAACCACTTGTTTAAGTGATTTAATATCGCGTCATGTCAGTTAATTCGACTTGATAAATATGACATTAGTCGCTACTCAGTGATCAATCAATGTGAATATGGGGCATTAGTTAACTTACATTAAAAATTATCAGTAATTGTTCGATAGTCTTTGCATTTTTCTTTAAATTAAGTATATATACATCATATGACAATTTTAATCAGTTACCTTAGTTTTCATATATCTTATTTGGTACATTGTTTATGTCTATTCATAGTGCATTATTTAATTTTACTGTAGCTTCTTAAGGCTACATTGAATTCATAAAGGAGTACATATAATATAAGAAAATATGACTTATAGTGCTTATAGTGATATTAATTTACTAGTCTAGATGGTGATAACAGATATTTAATAAATAAATATACTGTCTTATGTTTATTGTCTCCAGAATAATCTGGCATAAATATTTACGAATTCGAAACAAGTTGCATAACTTATGGAGATGTGACATGCATGTTTTTTGGGCTTACTTTTAATCATTTTTAAAAATCTAATGTAATGGAGATTTATTCAAAGGGAAAAATTAGACTTTTGATATTTTTGAATACGTAAAGTGATACATTAATCTGATAGTAGGCATCTTATACACATATACAATTATTAGAAATTCACTTGATATTGTTTGTTTGAATCTTCCCATTGATGTTTTTAGGACTGCACTTGATCAGTCTCTTATTGACATATGGGCATATTGTGCGTATTGCTTTGATATTGCAATAATTCACAAGCATTATAAGCAATGATATAAATATGAAGAGTAATAAAGTATTATTATGATATTTACTTACTTAGAATGAACTTGTAAATCAGGCATACCATATAAATCGTACAGTGGTACGTTTGTATTCGAACGAATACCATATAGGAAATCTCTCCATTTTGTAAATACAGTTTGACTCTGTAATGATATATATGAATAGTGGTGCACAAAATATTAGCCTTTTTCACAGCAGAAAACAATCAAGTTTTATAAACTAGATAAAACAGATGAACATTTTATTCACTGTCCAAAAACTAAACAATTAACCAATTATGTTATATAACAGTGAATTAATAAAAATGAATGTTGGATATCTTACTTAACGAATAACCCACAAATGTTACCGTGAATTAAAATCAATGTTGTACCGGATAAGTATCATACTGGATTAAGACCTAATTTTGCTTCAAATCTGTTCTAACAGTTTTATGAAAGCAGGTTTAATCTAGTGATAGATTTTGTTACGAATAAACATCATTTCGTGAATTATTTTTAAGCGAGGAAACACTGAATAACTGCTTTTTCTTATTATAAGATTTAGAATCTATACACCCAAAACATAACATCAAATTGTATGGAAGACCTTGATGTCTTCCCAATGAGCATGAATTGAAATTCAATAGTTCCACATTTCTAGTTTGAGTCGATTCGTGATGGTATAACTATGAATATGAAGTCTATCATATTACAATACTAACTAGTTGATCATTAAAAACCCTGACAATGTTAATCAATGTCTTCATTTTTTTTATTTATAACTGTTCATCAAGTTAGAAACAGACTCTAAATCTTTACATTTGTGCACAGAAAAGTGAAAATTTTCACTATTTGTCACTTAAAAACGAGTTCAACTCATAAAATTCAGTATTCTACACTTTAATTTGTCATTTCTTGTTGCATCCCAGCATAGTAGATTAGATCGAATTCAGAGAAAGTGAAGCAATAATTCCAAAAATTTATTCTTTATAACCTATGGGTGACCAGATTGTAATTTGTAACAAAAGATACCTGATAATTTAACTGATTTCTAGTCTAATAACCTTTTAGGAGAATAAGGTAATCGTTAATAGTCCTTCATGATTATACAAAAATATATTGACCGATCAACTTTAGAAACGTCCAAGAGAATCCTAGAAAACATGTGGTAGCCTTTGAAGTAAAGCTTCTTTTATACTTTCAGCACTTTGTTTTATGCTTAAGGTTCCAGAGTGGAAGACAGTTGATGACAATAGTGTTTAGGAAGTCAGTTTCTAAACGCTCAAGAAACAAGACGTGTTAAAAATGTAGTGTGTAAAATAATAAGTTGAAATCACTATTTAAATTTGTTGAAAGGAAGTACTTACACCTAGATTTATAATAGGTACATGTTTGTATTGCCATTTGATAAGACGTTCTATTGGAAAATTTCTGTCTACAAGGAGTACTTTAAAGTCAGGTATTCCAAGATGATGGAGAGCAGTCTCATGACATTTCTTATTGGCTCCATGCCATCCTGAAAATGACCCTCCAGTCAAAGGAACAGGATGAAATGCAAATACTATCTGAAACGACAAAATGAATCAGTAGAAATTGAAATCGCTAATGTTTTCGAGGGATATGATTTAATGGTCTCAAGGTAGATAAATGAACTAAAGTACTTCACAACTGTAGTTCCCTGTAGCATTATTTGTAGTCAGTGAAGAGATCGTGTTAGTAATGAATGCCTACTGAGCCAGTAGAATCTCAATGGTCAAAATATATTTATATTATCCAAAAAGTTGTATTCCAATGTTCTTGACCATTAACTTACAACAAACGTCCGTTAGACTTTCCTTCAGGCTCAAAACGAATGTATTTTAATCAAAAATATAAAAAACGTAAATGATAATGCCATATATCAGCCAAACATTTTTTTTAGTAACTTGGAAATATTAAATTTGAAATAGATCGGATTATCCCTTTGTCGATTTGTTGTGTGGAATTTGATCAGCCTCTGTTGGTATATGTGCATCCTATGTGGATTGCCTCAATATAGCCATTGCCATATAAGTTAGCTTAGAACAGATGGAATAAGAATTTAGAGTGCGCATTTCGTCCTACTTGAAACTTCCTTGATTCAGTTTGGGCGCTCGGATAGTATCCAAGCCCTTACACAAATCAAATGATGAAGCGTGAAGCATATGTATTCGGTGCCTCTTTGCGTGTTTAAATAAAATAAATAAGACTTTAGCTGGGTTCAATCGTCTGAGTGAACAACTCTAGAATGTAGGTAAATCCAGCTGAAGAGTATTGAACAGGACGAAACGGGCGTCCTTGATTCTACTGCCAGACGCTTTTTATCTATTCTTTGGAAATATTCATTAGTTTAATGTTTCTTGCATTTTGGACCCAGAAATTTTAGACTCAGCACTGTGAAAAATTAATCTTAAACTATTAAACACAGTTCTTAGATTTTAATTTAATTAATAAGCGATTTTTCTATGGGATTTATGATTCAAAACAAACTTTTCTTGAGATCATTCTGAATTTTCAAATCCATTAAAAAATAAATAAAAATCAACCTACTTTTTCTTTATGTCGAGGGGTATTAATTTTAGATGAAGGTTCTTTGGAAGATGAACTGTTGTAGATTTGTAAATTAGGCTAATTCAGGAATTAAGAATAAAACATGTAACAGTTTATCATTGATTAGGAATACACTTATTTATATAGAAATCATTTATGGAAACAGGAAAGTAGAGAATTATCAGAATGGTTTGTTGCTAAACTTTAGATGTTGAGACTCTCCGGTTTACATGCATTATACTTACCTTGGTTACAGGTATTCTATCCTTTAAGTTGTTTCAGAGGCAATATAAGAGTAGGGTCTATGAAACCCAACCTTTGTTATGAAGAAAGCGAGAGGTACCTAAACAAATGTTTTGACATTTTTAGGGAATATCGGGTTGACTGGGACCTAGTGGTTCCAGAAGGTTATTCAGCTGTCTTATGCTGTGAGGAGACTCATAAACAATATAACTTTCTCCATTTTAGTTTTGGGCTTCCTTAGAAGTTTTCTTTTCGTCTATTTATTCTCTCGCCTTGTCGTTGAACAGGGCTTCTATGACTATGGACATTATTAGGAATGCTGTCACAGGTTGAATCCATTGTTTTTCTCCTCCTTTGGAGATTGGACAGAGAATGGCTGATTCTCAATCTTATGCGAATTATTAGGACTATAGTGAGTGCCTGAGAAGTTTATATGCTGGTTTTCAGATGGTCTCTCAGCACCGTTTTGGCAATATGGGATGGATATAATCACAGCCCAGGAACTTATATATATATATATATATATATATATATATATATATATATATATATATATATATATAGCTTCTTCCTCGTTTATATGTTCTTTGTTTAAGTGTGTAGTGAAGTTAGCAATAAAATTTATGATATTTCTAAGTGAAGTCTTCACCACTAGTCCCTTTGTTAAGACAAGCTCCATGTTTTATCAGATTAATTGGTCTGGGAGTACATGGATCTTATCTAGAATGGTGCATATGAGCTCCGGAAACCTCATGAACCACCATACTGTTAGGTACTTTAGTGTTTACGGTGGGTTTTATAGCGTCCTTCCTTTCCGAACAAGGTTATGTCAAATCCTGACGTCCGATGATCCCCTGATAGCTGGCTTCCGAGATATGAAATTCAACTTTATCTTGTGTTTGGAGTTCAACATGACTTTTAATGAAGGGGTTGTTCCATAGTATTTGGCGCAGATACACAGTTCAGCTAGAATATTACCAATACCACTCTCTGTCCATGGATGTTGCGTATAGAGGCTTGGCGTATGGTGGGATAGTAAGTAAATTTATCAGTATATTCATACTGCAATCCTAGTGGGCAGCGGTTATTTTCGGGGTACCGACGTCCGTGGCCACATATATGACAGATCGGGACAACGGGGACTGGATGCTCATAGTGAGCCCGCAATATCGGAAGTGTATCTTAAAGTTACAAAGAAGGTGAATCGATCTCGCACAGAAGTTGGATGTGGACGCAGAGTCACTTGTTGTAATTATTGAGATGCATACGGTACAATCATTACCATTTTGTGCTAATCATCAAAGTACATAATGTTTTCGAAGGTCTTGTTCATAGATGCTCTTTCATATCGCTTTTTTTATTGGTTGTCAACGACACCGAAGAAAGAAAGCTAGGTCGGAATGATATCGTTATTTAATGAGATGCTCGTATTAGACGTTTGAGTCGTTCCTTGTGGGTCAGTATTCTGTCTGCTTTCGTGAGATGTATCTTCCAATCTTGGCTTAGGGTTCTGAAAAATCCTTTGTTTAGAGATTGGGATGCTTGATTTATCACTGAACCTTGTGGCAGAACCCTGATAGTTTGTCCTTGTTTTTATGGAGTGAGAACTAGCACAGACACTGATAACGTGCTTTGCACTCGATGAATGGAAAGTAAAGATAATAAAAGACAGTATTCAAAAAGGATAGATTTTTAAACAATTCACGACTTCAATCTCTTAGAAATATTTAAACTTGCAACCTTGCAACTTTTACCACTCCCCCAATTGACTTCATATGACCCAAGCAAGTGTTCCACAAATCCCGTGTTTTCAAGTAGTTGTAACGATACCAGTCACTAACAGAACAAAGATGGTTTCATATCCATCAATCGTTAATGCAAAATTTCCATCGTTTACAACACTATTACCTATCGTTCAGTGGTATTAATTGTTTTAAAATTATATCATAGGTTATAATGACTATAATTGTTAGGGACAATTATTCTTCCACCTAATTGTGGATTATGATAATCAAGCAAGTATGAATTTGGTTTCAGTTTCGAACATTATCACGGCTACAGAAAATTTGGTCATAACCATGCTGTTTGTTTTTAAAATATTGCATTTCTATCTCTAGTAATTTTAAAGGGAATTTGCAAATGGGAACTTATTTCTAGTTTTCGGTTTCTGATTCTTAAAGAAATAAGAATCAGAAATTGTTATTAGATCCGCATTTTTTATTTTAAGCCTTTTAAGATCGTAACCAAATTTTTATTTCACTTTTACATGATGTTTTTCTTCTTTGATAATTGCATAGTTGCAAGCATGAGTCAATTGAAGCTAGACCACCAAGGTAAACCTGGAAGCACTGTACGGTTTTTTCACGAGGCGAGGTCGTGGGTGCGCACTGTTGAGGAGTCCCACAATAGGACGGAACAGCCGTTCAGTGCTTGCAGGTTTTCATTGGTGGTCTAGCTTCAATTAACTCACGCTTGCAACTATGAAAATACTAAATCTCCACAAAACCCCTTCTTTCATAATTTTCTTTTTTTCTTTTGAAGAAGGAAAATGAATAAAATTGTGTTAAAATAATTGAAAGTTATTTACTTACGTGATGTTGACCAAATGTTACTTCTTGTCCGAATTTCTGTGAAACATTTCGCATCCGAAAACAAGAAAAAAAACTTAAAATGATAAACCTAACTGTTATAACGGTAGGATACGTGTTATAACGTTAGGGTTTCTTGTTATAACAGTCCTTTCACTTTTTACATATATGTGGGACTTTAATTTACTTTAGACGAATGTCTACGAATGTTTATTCTAGAGAACTTCAACATAACTCAAATCAAGAACACGTAATTAGCCTGCCTAGTACGTAAATATATTTCCACACTGGAATCCAACAAAATCCGACAACAAAGAGCTGTGTATCAATAATAATAATAATAAATAATAAGGATAGGGGAATACATAGCTCATCTGACACCTGTTAGAGTATCTACATAATTGATTAGGCAAAACAACCAATCAATATCATTTTCATCCACACATCACTAACTGAACATAAGCTTGCAAATCTAATTAAGAATCCAAGTTTTTAAGTGATTTATTCCTAGAATTCATTAAAAGTTTACATTGTAAATAGTAATATTAATGTACATAATCATAACGATAGAGACAACAATAATCATTTCATAGTTGAAATCATAAGTCAATTGCAGCTGGACCACCATCGAAAACCTAGAAGCACTGGACGGCCGCTTCGTCTTTTTGTGGGACTCCCCAGCAGTGCGCATCCACGATCCCGCACCTGAGAGATTCGAACCCAGGACCTACCAGCTTCGCGCCGGTGCACTTAACCTATAGATCACTTAGCCGGCATCCAACAGTGTTAATGTCCAACTTCAACTGATTCCATGGTGGTCTAGCTTCAATTGACTCACGCTTCCAACTATGAAAAACTGAAATATCCACAATAACCCCTTCTGATCAATAATCATTTCATTCAGTATTAAATATTTAGTTATAATAAGGGATTCTATGCTCAAAATATGCAAATATTGTAACTAAGCTTCTATGTTGTATCCATTTGATATGTGTATATTTTGAGAAACTATGTACAAAAAAAGTTTGTCTGCAATGGATTAACTGTAATTTATATTCATCCATGAATGTTTACCATCAGTTTTTCCCACCTAAAAAGTTATTTTTTGCATTGCATAATATGTTTAACGTATGAAGACAACATGATCAATCCTAGTTTCCCTTGACGATGATTAAAGAGGGAAATATATCTGTCACTACATTCGTTGTGCTTAAATATTGTTGATATATGGCTACTGAATGTAAATGTGATTGGCCATCAAGTGTGCACAAAGATATATTTTCAGCTTATTGATTAATAAATGTGAGATTTCCTTTCCTATTATTGATTCCTTGTCCGGACTCTCAGAGTGTAGACTGTTTGTAATTGTGTTGAATAAAATACTGTCTAGTCTACACTCTGGTTTTCTATTTTTGATCACTAATCGCGTATTCGGTACAACTTGACCCAGTCTATGTATGATGAGTATGATCGAGTATTCAGTCTAATGGTAGAAAACTCTCGGTTTACCCGTCCACATTTTTTGTCAATTATATAATTTACTTTTGTGATAGGCTGCAAACTTTCTATAGAAACTCAAGACTAAATCATGGTTAACATACGTAATTGATTAGTCATGAATAAGTGAAAAGTTGGAAAAATGTTATATTTTTCTTTACGAAAAATGGTTGCTCATTTGTCCCAGTTCACTGTCGATGCCGTCATTATCATTTTAAAGAAACTAGTTTTTACCTCTGTCCCCTTAAAAGGAGTCGGTTTTAAATAACAACTAAAGTCTAATCAGCTAAATTTTATTAAGAAACTATGATGTTTATAATGAAATCACACTTAAGATCAAATTCAAACGGCTGTCTAAAAGCACATTTCTGATTTGAATCTTCTCACAATTATGACTGGTTCTGTTTACTTCATGAGATGTTATAAATTATTTTTTTTTAAAAAACAGCACAACATTCATGATTGATGTAACCATTACTTCTTAAACTTGATTCTTAAACAAACTTACAACGTGCAGTCTTTTCCATGTATTATGAATATTTTCAATTTTCATAAATAAACCCAATGAATTAATTGGATTCCATTGAATTTCTTTATTGAAATCCCATTTAGATAAATGGTCATCATTTATTAATGATAATATTTCATAATTGGGCAATTCAGTAACAACTAAAGCACCAACTGGTAGAATTGAACTAAGAGTTTTGAATTCATTAAGATGATGAATTATTTTAACCTTTTTTTTTGTTGTTGTTGATTAAAAATCAATAAAAAAGAGTTTTGATAAATATCAATGTCAAAGTTGTACTTTATAGTATCAAATATATTGAGTATTGAATAGAAAGTTAATCATAAATCCCAATGGGTAGAAAAATTGTATTTCTGACTTGTTTCGTGACTTAATGTAAGCTGCTTCTTCAGAGTAAATAAATAACGTGATTAAATTAACGTAAGTTTAAGTAGTGCAAACGAATCAACGTAATATTTAAACTTGTGTTAATTGAATTTGTTTATTTATTTAGTCTAAAGAAGAAGCTTACAATAGGTTACAAAGCGTCATAAATACAACTTATCTATTTATTGGGATATGATAAAAAAACACTCTTTATTAGAGTTTTGATAAGTTAAAAAAATAATCCATTGTCAAAAAATCTCAACATAATTGACCAAATGCCTGAACATATAGAGTATAAGACTGGTTATGTAAGGATTTATTTGATAACATAAATATTGGTACAAAGGGGCACTAAATAAATATGCGCTACACAAGTCACTTGATTTATGTGTGGGCTGCGATACTCCCCGGGTTCCCAAACCGAAGCAGGGGGTTTTCCTAAAACGCTACATCGCGAGCCTTTGACCTAAAAGTCTGATCCATGAGGTAACTTCAGGAGATGCATTCCCATGGTAGCCGGTAACCAACGATTGGTTCATACGGCATTTGTTCCTTCAGGATCCTGGAACCTATGTTCACAATTGGTCTGTAACCAAGGTTTCTCAACTCCATTAGGTGGATCCTTGATATCTACCAACCCGGTAAGAGCACCGGACATTCGCTTTTCATCCACTCGATTTCGTGAACAACGCTCCCACGACGAGATGGCAGTGAGTAGGACTTTCTTGTCAGTGGCTGTATACGTGAGGCCATGTGAGAGCATTTCGGGAGGGAGAGTGGACTTCCCCACTCTCGGCCGCACCAGAGCATTTGAGGGATGCAGATATTTGAAGCACGAATGATCACTTTCTGTTGGTACATGAATTCTTTCAACTGATGACTTGATTTAGTCTCCGTTTATGTATTGGTTAGACGTTTTGAGTAGTAACTTATAGTAGTAGTACTATCCTTACAACAAAAAACATTCTTTATACGTCTGTATGAATCAATATCAAGGGTTTATCGGAATTAGATGATAGCTCTAATGATATTTTTTATTTGGATTAATTGACACATGTCTGATAGACGTTATGATGCTTTTAATTATCATTTAAGTACGTATATGAGTATACGAATTACAATCTGGACACAACCTATGATGTAATTTAATTGATTAACATTATGAGTAACGTAATAACGGTAACAATAGTGCTTGCTTTATTCAATATCATGTATATAATTACAGTAATGGATCCTCAGAATGGTTTTAAAACCATAAATGTCTTTAAACAGTGATTACAAAACATCGATATCTATCCAAAAATCCTACTAATCAGTCTTAGTTCTTTGATACCATTTCTCATCATTTAATCTATATGATGTATAAATTGTGCAATAATCCTATCTCATTTCACCAAAGAACAAACAAGGAGAAAATTAGACAGACCACAGTGGTGGTGCATTCCGAGTCTCTTAGTGATTAGATTCTTGACAAGTTGTAAACACTATATGAAAGTGAATATGTGCATACACTTGGGAGAAATAATGAATAAAGATAAATTTGAAACAAGAAATTTCCTATCTATAAGTTGATACTTGAAGAAAAAGGTTGGAGCAGGTTGTTGCGTTCACCAAAGAGGTATGAACACAATGCAATTGAATTTTTCATTTGTTCATACATAAATTTTATTTCTCTAACTTACACCTAAGATTTTTTGTTTTTCTAAGTGTGCAAAACTTGATCCAGTGAATAATATACTTGAGTCATTTGTTGATTGATTCAAAGAATTCATAAATGAACGTTTTACACGTTTCTTATTTTCCTGTAAAGAATGAATTCGAAGATTTAAATGATCATAATCTTGTTGTTGTTCCCGTTTACGTCGATGAATATTTCTGTTATTCTGTGTATATATACTTCTTTGAATGAGTTTTCTCTGAATCCTTTCACCTTTATCCCCTTTTTGACCTTTAGGAAAATAATTTGATGACTAAAAATAGAAATAAGTAGTAGATAATGCATCATCTAAATTGTCCATTTATTATCTAAGTCTTATTAATTTCAAGAAAAGCTAAGTAGTTTTCTGACATAAAGTTAGTTTTCTTCGTTTGGAACTCTTCAACAACATGAATCCATATTTATGCATCTTAACAGATGTGTTATCTTTAAACATCATTGTATCTATCCATTGCATCACATTTCCAACTTCAATCAATGAACAATATTGTTCTCGACTAGCATTCATTGTTACTAATGTTAAATGACTGGAATTAAAGATGCTATAAGCTATTGGATACTAGTCTAGTGATCTAATTTTTGTATTATTTACCGATAAACATTAAATCCTAAGTTCAATATCCGACCGTGTTGCAAGTGTATAATGCTTAATAGTCTTATAATAAGAGAAAATAATTAATAAAATACTCCCTTCTTTTTATTAATTGTCTAGTGAAAGTCAAGTTGTCCTGTAAACTATCTTTACATAAAAAGCCTATAATAAGACTATCATCTTGATTACTTTCAGTTTATTCATTTAAATAGTAGATTTACTATCAGCTATAAAAATAAAGATCACTAGCTTCACAAGTACCATTCAATCAATCATTGATCTCATTTCAATAATGAAACAAATGATCAATTAGAATTGCTTTTGATATTCGGAAAAAAAGTCTTTGTTGATGTCGACTAATGTATTACATTCAAATTACAATGTTCAGCGAAAGGATCTCTTTTCAACGAATTTATTATCAAGCTGTACAATCGTATATATATACATGAGGATTTTTTGGTAAAGTATTAGTTCCGTGACGACGTATGAACAAGGAATAAACATGACAATACGGTTGTACAGCTAAATGATAACTTCGTTAAAAAGAGATTCTTTCGTTGAACTTGTATTATAAAAGTATTTCATAAAAGCTTGTCAAATATATGGTAGTAATAATTTAAACTTACTGTGATGTTTATAGTGTATTTAATTAATTGTAAGGCTTTTGAAAATGATAATACTAGTGTATCTCCCATATCACCTTTTAGACCCTGAAATTTACAAGAAATGATGAATGATATTAAGTAAATAAATGTCAATCCAAGTTAGAACTACACATAAATCCATATTAGGCTTTACTCTAATACACAGTAGTATTTATATACATATATGAAATTGTTAAACCAATCAAGGTGTAGTAGTGTCTGATGCTATATTAAGCCCGTTTGCCTTATTCTAGCTTCTGGACAGACCAATTCATCCATTCTTCTTGAGTCACGTTTTGATATTGTTTTTGATACTATTTTTATATGAGCGTGTGTGTACACTTCTTATCCTATTCATCACAAGTCTGTGACCTACTTTAATCTGGCTATAAATATTGATTAGCGCTTGATTGAATGGAGTTGGCTCACACGCCTTCTCTACTGCACGTCATTTCACTTTGCTCTCTTCTCTTTGTTTCGTCTCCCTGATTTCCTATTCAAATCATTAGGTGCATGAAATATACATATTCAAAATCCATTATCCTATTCCGTTATACACTAAAGCGGATTTATGTTTCGACAGTAACTATTCAATAACAATCATTCCTACGATCTAATTAGAGTCAGATAAAGGGTCAACAAAGGTAGTTTATGAGTCACTGATAACAGTGGAATACAGTACATAAGTAAACATAATAAGTAAAAAGTACAAATTGGTAATTTGATAATGGGTGTACTAATTGTGAAAAGAATAATAAATGTTTCATAATGGGTAATAGAATTTAATCAAAAACAGTATTGTTCACTTCTAAGTTTGTAATATATACATTTAATCTTATCTCACACTTTTATAGCAATTAGTCCCTTTGATAAATTTTGATAATGTAATAAGAAGACGAAGGTTATCAGAACTATGTGTGTGGTCACACATACATAGGGAGGAGCAATCGTGATCTAGGGTGGATGAACATGTACCAAAATGGTTGCAAAAACAAATAGAGTCAAATGACCCAATAAGAGTAGAGGATAAACATCCATCATCCTCTATTGCCAAACGTATAATCGAAACAGGTCATAAGATTTCATTATATGTGAAAAAAATTATAATTGAAATAGTCTCAGCGATTGAAATAAAAATAATTCCAACGTTCCATCCAGCTAACTTGTCTGGACTTCTTCACGGAAATAATCAAAGTCAAAATCATCAAAGAAATATATAGTGTTTTTCTTTAACAATCATATCAAAATCTCCACTACTTTTTAATCCAATCATATTTGGATGTCGAATATTTTTCTTGTAACCAGGATAATATGAGTCAGTTGAATGAGGATCAAGTGAAAAGTCCAACGATGTGAAATAAAAGGAGACTGGATGAATTGTGTGTGTGTGTATGTATGTGTAAGATGAGTTATTAATGAATGATATTCAGTGTTGATATGTTTCTATGTGAAGTAAAAATAAGAATAAAAGTGCAAATTGAAGATTGAAAAGTTTTTTCTGAATCATCGAAATTGCAAATAACATGAGAATCATCATCAAGTACATAATTGTAATGATAAACATAACTCATATTGATTTCAGTCATAATAACGATTCATGTGAAGTAAGCAGGTTGAATAAAAGAAGAAAAGGTCAAATTACTTGTTGATGAATATTTGCCAAATGGCAGCTAGCTGAATACCATCCTTTCTGTTTAGGCTGTTCTTATTCGCCCATATATACATACAGCGCTTCTGCTGTCAATCTTTCTTTATGAGTGTTGAAACCTTTCTGAAGTATTTTGACCCCTTCAAAACTAATCATGTGTCCCGTTTCTAACGCATGTAACGCTATTGCAGACTTATTCTCAAGTTTCCTTAAGTCAACCGAAGTTTTGGGAACGTTTGTGTTCCTTCAACCTTACCTTCAATTGTCTGGATGTTTCTCCAATATAAGCTGCATTACAATCATGACAATATTTTGTTGTTCTTCCTTTTGTAACTTATCCTCACCAATGACGATCTTATAGTGTCAGAAATTACACACTCATACTGGTCGAACGTGACTGATTTGTCACAGTGTTAATATCGGAAAGTTGTGTTTCGATTGGTGGATAATTTACGTGATAAAAAGCCGGACAGAAGATCAATAACGAATTAGCATAAGTCTTATTTTTTATAAACTCATAACAATATCAGAAGCGGTTTTGTGGATATTATAGTAATTTTAATGGTTGAGATCATGAATCAATTGAAGCTAGACCACCATGGAAAACCTAGAAACACTGGACGGCCGTTTCGTCCTATTGTGGAACTCCTTAGCAGTGCGCATCCACGATCCCGCCTCGCGAGATTCGAATCCAGGACCTATTTAATTATTATTATGAAGCTTAGTTGGTTTGTTCAATAATTCAAGGTAATATACACCAATCAGTAGGATATCAATAACTATTGAACTTACTTTTATGCCTTTTAATCCAATCATTCCATCAATAGTTTTACATGGTCTATCACACCATTCACTTGATCCAGTCTCGCCTTGATCACCCTAAAATGTTAATCCAAATTTGTTTGTAAGCGAAAAAAAGATAAAGTAGCTAATTATTGGGTTGTAAATTCATTCTTTTCAAATAAAAGTACTTGAGTAACTATTACGGATAATCGTTAACAGCATGTAATTTACTTATTATTACTATTGCCAATGTTATTTTTAGCTGTAATTTAAGCTTACTGTATCGAAGTGTAATATTGATAAAATAAAGTTTCAATTATTTTTTACGTGATATTCGTTATAGACAGTGCTGGATAGTTGTTACATCCTGGTGTGATGCTATTCAGCAGGAAGCATCCATAACCCCTTGTAGATCAGACCTAAAACTTTGGGTTCACGTGGAGAACGCTCAACCATTAGTTTCACGTTCAATGTTAAAAATATTTGCAAACTCAAACTTTCGGTTAAATTAAAAAATCTGTATTATATTTATTTGTAATATTTGTGAGCTCCGAATGCATACGGTACACAAGACTTGACAACTCAAATATAAATTCTTTTACAAACACTTATGGAGGTTTATTTCCAGCAAAATAGTCTTACAGTTGTTTGGTTTGAATAAGTAACTCAGGTTTTCATAATCTTTAATTTGTAATTTTTGCTAATAGACCATATTTACTGGTCAAACAGTTTGATTGAGGTGTGTATCTTTGACTCTTGTTGTATGTCGTCTAGGAAACACGACCATACAGACACAGGATATCATCAGTGATTACGACCAAAACTGCAATTAATTGAAAACTTATAAGCTAATAGAAAGTGTACGCTGCAGTTCAGGTTATTGAAGTTATTGAAAACAATTGTTCACTAGAATATTCCTTGTATTGAGATACTCTTTGGGATCTTTACACTGTGTAATATTATTCAATCTGATAAAATGAACTGATACAGAAAAGAATGACTAGTTGTACTTAAGAACATGAATCTACAATATATGTGATTGAGATATAGAACTTCATATTTCACTAAATTGTAAAAATATCAAAATTAAATACAGAGCATGTGACTGTAAAGAGTTAACTTTTTAGAGAACATACAACTGTCATAATACATTTTCAGCCAATGTAGAACTACATTGGTACAAATAATCAAATGATTGATTTTAATGGTACAATAAATCTATTTGATAGAACTATCATGAAAGAAAATCTGAAACGAGGAAACTTCTGGAACATCGGCCAACATCCTACGTTTCATTTGATTCAATTAAGTTGGTCTCCATTAACCACGGCTGAAAATATGTAATAATTTATTCTAGAATCCATTTGAAAAAATGTTCGATCTACTTTATTATCTTCCTGACTGTAGTTCAAATGTTTTCTACATCTTCTGTTATATTATCTTAGATATGTTCATAAAAAATTCAAAACGATAATTTATGATCTTTTCTGTGTATTCACTTTTGTATTGGTTGTTTGAATCTTCCTGTAAAAATGGCTCGTTGGCAAACTCAAGGAAGCCTCAAGAAGCCCAGAAAGATTTGAAGACATTCCATCCGTTTACCGCTAGAAGAACATTCTAGCCTCCCAATTGAATGAATAAGAAGGATCCCTATGTGCTTATAAATATACATGAGATTTTTGTACTATATTCGACACTGTGTTGGGAATAACATTCCTACTTACTAGTCTTCTGTTTTCTCTCTTACTACGTTTCGGGTTCGATCGTTCAAGTAGTCTAGTAGTACACGGCATATCACGAATCTAAAGCTCTAGATATAACATTTCCCATTGATGTTTATTACTGCAATTGATCAGTCTCTTATTAGTATTGTGAATCTTGTAAATATTGCCTCGATATTGCCTTAAGTCACAGAGATATATCGAGTTGACGAGTTCCAAATGAGACAAAACATGCGTTCTTGATTCCATCACTGGCCACTATCATCTCTGCTTAAAATGTTCTGTGTATTGTTCTTGAAAGTGTTCGTGAATTATTCACATTTCCTATCGCTATTTTTAACTTTTTACACCTATCCCATTTTCTTTCTATATCTATCTATTTGCTTTAGGGGGTTAATAATACAATTCATTTTCATCATTCTATATTATTCTATAAGAAATGAGATAAAAGGTTATCATGAAACTTTTACAAAAATTAGTAAAAGCTTCAATTCAATAATCAATGATGAATCTAATGGAAATTTTAATGTTACGGTAATAAATCAAACCGGTTTAACTTTCTAATCTTTCTAATGTAAATTACTAAGTAACCAATTTATTTTACTTTTTTCTTCTCTTTCTTTTTTTAAAGTAACTTTGAACCATGTGTGTTTTAATATTTATTTTTGATAGTTTATAATGATCGATAGCAATCGATCAGCACTAAGAAGGACTTGACACGCATGACATTGATCACCACCCAGTGATCAATCAATTGTGATTACATCTCAGCCCTACAGGGGGTCGGTCGCGGCCCGGTTAGCTCAGTGGTGACGTCTCTGACTGTGAAGCTGAGTGACACGGGATCGAATCCATCAGGGAGCATCAGTTCCCTCAAGATTACAGGTACACCTTGCTGACAAGTGTCAAGTGGCACGAAACCCGGGTCCAGGGTTTCCTGTTGACCACCTTCAACCACGGTCTTATCTCAATATATAGAGCACGCAGTGTCGAGCCACCTAGACTAGTGGCCACATTGCAACTTGGTCGATAGCATTCGATCAGCACTAAGAAGGACTTGACATGCATGACATTGATCACCACCCAGTAATCAATCAATTGTGATTATAATGATTCTATTATATTTCATGTATTATCATTGATAAATAATAACTTACTTTAAATGAACTCATATCAATTGGTGGACATATTGTTTCTGGACAATAACCCATGGAACCCTCTGGACCAGCTGAACCCTAAACTTACAATGAAAGGATATTAATTTTTTTTCAATGAAAACAAAAGAAATAATCAACATTTATTATGATCATTCCTGTTATAAATCAGTATTAGTTGATTAGTTTCAAGAGAAATTGATCAATTCAGTCATATAAATCAATGATGGAATGGTAACGATACAAAAACAAAGTTAATTTAATATTTAGTTATCTTCAATCTGGTTACATTACTTAATACATTGAATATATATTTTTACATATTACTGAATTCTAATGAAAATCACCCTTGAAAACAGCAAATTTGCAAAAATGTCGATCAACTTAGAAAACATGAAAATATTACAGAATGTTCAAAAGTAATAATAATCAAATATATGGTTCATAGTTGAAAGCGTGAGTCAATTGAAGCTAGACCACCATGGAAAACCTAAAAGCACTGGATGGCCGTTTCGTCCTATTGTGGGACTCCACGGTGGCAGTGCGCATCCACGATCCTGCACTAGCGAGACTCGAACCTAGGACCTACCAGTCTCGAGCCAGAGCCCCTAACCAATAGACCACGCGAGTGCGGAGTCGTGGATGCGCATTGTTGAGGAGTTCAATAGTTGGACGAAACGGCTGTCCAGTGCTTCCAGGTTTTCCATGATCTAGCTTCAATTGACTCACGCTTTCAACTATGAAACATACTAAATCTCCACAAAACCCCTTCTGATAATTAAATATATGGTTGCTTTAAGTCATATGAGAAAAATCTTTTCTAAAATTAACTAACTAATCAAAAATATATACCACTGACTATTGTATATAATGCTAGTCAAGAATAGAATATCTGACAGCAGAAGGTCAAGAAGATCGAGGAGGAAAGAACAGGAACAGAAAAGTAATTGGTGTGGAAATTCAGAAACAATGAAGTCTGGAACAATTAATAAATATTTTGAAAATAAAGAATTTACTACATGGTTCTCAGATTTTACTAAGATGTTTTGTAATTTTGTGTTTAATTACATTCGATTATCCCCACTTGTGTTCTTGTTCACTACAATACTTTAAGATTATCAAATTAATAAAGGTTTAAGACAATTGCAAGCCAATCAAAATTTTAAGCTTAAAAAATTAAGTATTAAAAATAATGTGTTACCTGTGGTCCAATGTCTCCTTTCTGTCCCTAAATTAAGGAAAACAATTCGTAATAAATTCTATTCAATAAATTAAACTTACAATATGGACTATGACTTCTTCCAATGAAGACTGAAGAAAATTAAAAAAGCAACAATATTGAAATGTTGTTTAGAATATGGAAAAGCTACAGAGTTGTTTGTAATATATGCCAAAGAAATCTCTCAACGATGTAAATACTATGCAAAGAATCAATGTTTGACGACAAAATGTTCAAGTACTTATGAGATGTCAACCATTGCTCAAATAGGTCAGTGGTAATTTCTTTTACTGTGGAACTGGATTAGAAGGTTCAAATAACATACCGAATATCGAGTATTGACATGAATATTAACATATTTCGCTGATAAATACCAAATGAAATGATACATAAGTTAAGTAGAGCTATTTTGTGACTGTCCACAAATACTTAACATTTATGACATATCAAAATAAATTGCTTACTAACAACCAGAATTTGTCAGTAATCTGATCGAAGCTTCAACTGAAACGTAATTCGAAAAATCACATATCAACAGTCTTCCTGTTAACATCGACTTAGACACTATCTTGGACATTGTATAACAAGTGTATCGCAGACGTTGTGCAGAATACTCAGAAAACTGTCTGTTTCGAAGATTGTTCAAACTACTGTTAATGAGAATACTTGTGTTTTCCAACTACTTACACATCTTTAATTCTGTGTATCTAACTGTGGGACTATGTTTTTCTCTTTAAAAAATATCAATTACGAAACTTCCTGTCTTGATTAATGTAATTAGCGCTTTATACCTAATTTACTTCAGATTTTTATATGTGGTTTAGTACAAAACATTTTAAAATCTACACATTATTCTGGACCATGAAGTCAGTTCTCTAGTAATAACCAGATGATTAAAGTTGAAAATGTGGGGACTTGGATCTCAGTTCAGTTAATTAAAGGTTTCTTATTTGTCTCCGTGCCTGACGATTCCGATTTCCATCCATTATTGAGTCATGGGTGTCCGCTGACTAGAAATTTTAAACCAATAGGCTGTTTAGTGATCGTTAGTTTTAAGTGTCTCTTCATTTAAAAACGATCTGCGATGAAGTCCATCTCAAAATTTTGAATAAGGTGTTCGAGGAAACTCAAATAACAAATCGCTTATTCCATGTTTGTACAAATTTTCTCAACGACCTAATATTACTCTTAAGTACCAACACTATCTACTGTGAACGGTGCCTATTTTGTCAAAGAACTGAAAATGAATCGCGAATGATAAGAATTACTAACCGCAAAATACAAATTTTGGTATATTCTATTACCGTTTTAGCCTATAATGTTCTCCAGAGACCTTTCAAATGATAGACTATTGTCATATTCTCATGATCTCAACGCTTACCTGGATGTCATTATAAATGTTACTACCTACCACGTAGGCCTTTATAAACGAAATGAGTTTCAACTTTCTCTTAAGAAGCTTCAGTACTTTTAAAACCAATTAATTGTTTTCAGTAACAGTTAAAATTTCATCTCTTCACTGAACTCATTATTTTGCTCTGGATTACTTGGAATCGTCCGGGAGTTATCAAGGCTCACTCACATTACAGATTTTATTTTTTGATACAACCATAACATTCAAAATGAGGTCCAAATCGAATAATTTTATCTAGGACAAATGTAGAAATGCAAAGAACTTAGTAGATACTTACATTCATGGTGTAATTATAATCAGCTCTTCTGTTCATTCGATAGGTTCCTGAGACTTCTCCAAATGTTATATACGTTGCATTTTTATTATGAGACTGTTTTTCTGTTTTCTGTTTAACCAGTCCCACGTACAAGTCATCAGATGATTGATTCATTAAATCCGTTGGTTTATACATCTACAGGGAGTTTCATTAGAAAAAAAGTACCGGATGAAAATGACCAAGAAGTCGGCTTCATGTGAAACTGAAATGCGTCAATGAAAGTGAATTGTAATCGACTTTTAATGAATTTCTTAAGTAAACATATACTTCTGTGATTTCTGCTTCTAAGACTAAAAGTTTGAATTAATTGTTTTTAATATTGATGGAGTTATTTTTATGGAAAAAGTTTTGTTTACATCCAATTGATATGATGATACAGTTGTTACTTATTACATTCTAGTGAACAAAAATCACTTGGCTGATGTTATTCCTCAGCAGTGCGCATCCACGATCCCGCATCGCGAGATTCGAACCCAAGACCTATCAGTCTTGCGCGCAGGCGCTTAAGCACTAAACCACTGAGCCGGCATCCAACGGTGTTATTGTCTAACTTCAACTAATCCACGAAATTGAGCAAACGTCCACCATTGTCTTCAGTGAGTTGATATCTCACAACATACCTGGTTGTACTCCACTGGTCACTGCTTCTCACTAGAACTCCAGGAAATATCACTTGAAACCAGTTACTAGTGAGCACATGATTATTATCAGAAGGAGGTTTGTGGAGCTTATAGTAATTTTAAACGCTCGCGAGCGAGACTGATAGGTCCTCGGTTCGAATCTCGCGGGGCGGGATAGTGGATGTGGACTGTTGAGGAGTCTCACAATAGGACGAAACGGATGTTCAGTGCTTCCAACCCCACTTTTGATATTATTCCATTGTTATCAGTATATTAAAGTGGGTGCTAATACATATTCATATATTTATACGAAATGACAAACATCTTTGGTTTGCATAAATAGTAATTTATAATTAATATTTCATTTATTATTTTCTAAATTAGTATGAATAAATTTATGGCCATTCTCCTACAGTTGATTTTGTCGAGCCCTTTCCTTTAATCAACGTGTCTAACAGACAATGTTATTCTAACAGTAAAAATTTGTTTATTTCTTTGTATTATTATAATTACTATATCATGTGTATCGAAAATTGTATACTTGATTACATGTAACAGCCTACGCACATATCCCCCTCTCTAGCTTAGATATTAGTTGCTCAAAAATTACTCTGCAGGCCATTTGCTTTCCCATATGTATATATACTTGAATCTGATTGGTTGATTCGACTCAGTATTCGCTTACTCGCGCGTATTAGCATTTCTGCTCAAATTTATTTGGTGTGCTTGTAAAATTGTTATCTGCGCTATCCAATAATAAACTGCAATCAGCGCTTTGTGTTGCCTTCTGAATTCATGCACCGTCGGGATTTATTTAATAATGATTATCAGGGTGATTGATAAACGAAGCCAAGCCACTACAGAAATGGTAACTTCGACGTGGGAACGTGATGCATTTTTCGACGACACGGTCTTATATCGAAAAATTAACTTACTTTGTCTCTATTCGGATTATTATTTGGATTATAATCATAATTGTGTATTACTAATATCATTATTTTCATTACACGTACATTATCTCAGAAGACATTACTGGAAATGATTTAACAATAATAAATATAATAATAAAATGTAAAAGGAACATTTCACAAACAGTTGATATACTGGTGCAATTTAGTGTGTCTGATCTATATTATATCATTGAATCATTTGTTATTATCATTGATGTTGTCAGTTGATTACTCTTTTTGACATTAAAATTGTTTTATTCGTCTACTATCAATTCTTTTTATACACATGACATCGGAAAAGCCTACGTTACATTTACACCAAACGCCGTCTGTGAAGTCTTTTTAGACTTGAAAATTATTTCTTGGCAAAATGCATTATTTGCAATGAAACAAGTTCGGTCACGCATGCACGCTCCTTCCAGATAAATCTGCAGATAGCATACGAGAGGTTTTATCTAGACAGGATTGCCAGAGGCCATATGACGAAATAAAGTAAGCCATAGTTAGATGCGTCTGTTCAATCGACCCAACAAACTGTTGACCAACCGCCTAATCAGGTGCAAATAAAGGATAGGACTGCTTCAAAGCTAAAAATATCAAATGAAAAGTCATATGATGAGCAGGAAAGTAGACATCAAACTATACTATCAACTAAGGCTCCGCCGCCTTCCGTTGAATTTACAACAGATAATAACCGCAGTAGACAGCGATGCTGATAAAGATAATATTGCAAAAAAGGCTGATAGCATACGCGACAGGATCAAGCAAACGAGTACATAACATGATGGAAGACGAGAAGATAAATGTGCGACAGAAAAAGAAAACTGTATTATGCCAAAATTTGAAAGAATTGACACAAAATAACACCACGAAAAAGGTTACGCACTAGTAAAAAAATTATCCAGGCGACAGGTAGAATATTCGAAATGTTGGAATCATAATTACAATATAAACTCAGAGGAGCAAAAGGAATTAAAATGACTAACAAAGAATAATTCAACGACAACAGCAAAGGTGCAATAAGCAGGACTAAAACAAATAAATTACCAATATATTCACACGAACAAAAATAGAATGCAAAAAAGAAATCCGATGATTCACAGGAAGAAGTAAAATATTTAAAATAAAACACTAAGAAATGTCCAAATGTATATGATTGGGTGAGCACACATTGCATGCATTGGACAACACCTCGTGACTTCCATGCATCATCGTCGATGCGTTATCCACTAGTGTTGGTCACTACACCTCAGACAGATTCACAAACACACAAGAACACGCACACAGGCACATTGTCCAGTTGACACATTCCCACCACATCCAACACTCGATCGACAAGTAACGGTGTTGTCAAGTGATCTGATGTGGTGTCGAATGCCTACACATACCACTAGTCACCGATCTCATCAACATTCCACAACACGTCAATTAAGGAAACAAGTGTGTGAACGAGATTACCTGTGTGTCGAGAAGATTCTCCTCACTGGCACCGACACCAACACCCATGTGACTGATCGAGTCAGAGTCTGTTGAAGTGTCTCTGGTCTCATCGTCTCCGGTCTGACGTTCACTCGTCGATGCTGGTTGTTCACTTGACACCTGAAAGTGAAAGAGATCATGGAGTGTATTAAGCTCGAGTGTGTAGTGTGCAGTATTTGGTGCTAGATTGTGACTGTGTGAGACCTATGCATTATATTGGTGTTGTCATGATTTCTGTTTTGTAGTGGTTGTGTGGATGACGTGTCAATGGTGAATTGGTCAGACCAATCCTCATCTGACAAGTAATGGGCGACAGTCACACCCAACCACATCACACCTCTACTCACTGAATCCACTGAAAATACATACAATGACAGTTGGTGGTGTGTTCATTCTCACGTCACAGATTTTCACAGCATCTCATATCACACATTCACACAACTTGTCAATCAGTCAGCTCATCGACGTTGTCTGCAGTCACAATGCACCATTCAGTCAGCACACATATTTGCTGTTGACAACCTCGGTCGGAATCCCAGTCACATCTGCATCAGGTCACTCACCCATTGTCACTCACATATACTCACTGTCAATCTCCACATGCATATGATTGGGTGAGCACACATTTGCATGCATTGGACAACACCTCGTGACTTCCATGCATCATCGTCGATGCGTTATCCACTAGTGTTGGTCACTACACCTCAGACAGATTCACAAACACACAAGAACACGCACACAGGCACATTGTCCAGTTGACACATTCCCACCACATCCAACACTCGATCGACAAGTAACGGTGTTGTCAAGTGATCTGATGTGGTGTCGAATGCCTACACATACCACTAGTCACCGATCTCATCAACATTCCACAACACGTCAATTAAGGAAACAAGTGTGTGAACGAGATTACCTGTGTGTCGAGAAGATTCTCCTCACTGGCACCGACACCAACACCCATGTGACTGATCGAGTCAGAGTCTGTTGAAGTGTCTCTGGTCTCATCGTCTCCGGTCTGACGTTCACTCGTCGATGCTGGTTGTTCACTTGACACCTGAAAGTGAAAGAGATCATGGAGTGTATTAAGCTCGAGTGTGTAGTGTGCAGTATTTGGTGCTAGATTGTGACTGTGTGAGACCTATGCATTATATTGGTGTTGTCATGATTTCTGTTTTGTAGTGGTTGTGTGGATGACGTGTCAATGGTGAATTGGTCAGACCAATCCTCATCTGACAAGTAATGGGCGACAGTCACACCCAACCACATCACACCTCTACTCACTGAATCCACTGAAAATACATACAATGACAGTTGGTGGTGTGTTCATTCTCACGTCACAGATTTTCACAGCATCTCATATCACACATTCACACAACTTGTCAATCAGTCAGCTCATCGACGTTGTCTGCAGTCACAATGCACCATTCAGTCAGCACACATATTTGCTGTTGACAACCTCGGTCGGAATCCCAGTCACATCTGCATCAGGTCACTCACCCATTGTCACTCACATATACTCACTGTCAATCTCCACATGCATATGATTGGGTGAGCACACATTTGCATGCATTGGACAACACCTCGTGACTTCCATGCATCATCGTCGATGCGTTATCCACTAGTGTTGGTCACTACACCTCAGACAGATTCACAAACACACAAGAACACGCACACAGGCACATTGTCCAGTTGACACATTCCCACCACATCCAACACTCGATCGACAAGTAACGGTGTTGTCAAGTGATCTGATGTGGTGTCGAATGCCTACACATACCACTAGTCACCGATCTCATCAACATTCCACAACACGTCAATTAAGGAAACAAGTGTGTGAACGAGATTACCTGTGTGTCGAGAAGATTCTCCTCACTGGCACCGACACCAACACCCATGTGACTGATCGAGTCAGAGTCTGTTGAAGTGTCTCTGGTCTCATCGTCTCCGGTCTGACGTTCACTCGTCGATGCTGGTTGTTCACTTGACACCTGAAAGTGAAAGAGATCATGGAGTGTATTAAGCTCGAGTGTGTAGTGTGCAGTATTTGGTGCTAGATTGTGACTGTGTGAGACCTATGCATTATATTGGTGTTGTCATGATTTCTGTTTTGTAGTGGTTGTGTGGATGACGTGTCAATGGTGAATTGGTCAGACCAATCCTCATCTGACAAGTAATGGGCGACAGTCACACCCAACCACATCACACCTCTACTCACTGAATCCACTGAAAATACATACAATGACAGTTGGTGGTGTGTTCATTCTCACGTCACAGATTTTCACAGCATCTCATATCACACATTCACACAACTTGTCAATCAGTCAGCTCATCGACGTTGTCTGCAGTCACAATGCACCATTCAGTCAGCACACATATTTGCTGTTGACAACCTCGGTCGGAATCCCAGTCACATCTGCATCAGGTCACTCACCCATTGTCACTCACATATACTCACTGTCAATCTCCACATGCATATGATTGGGTGAGCACACATTGCATGCATTGGACAACACCTCGTGACTTCCATGCATCATCGTCGATGCGTTATCCACTAGTGTTGGTCACTACACCTCAGACAGATTCACAAACACACAAGAACACGCACACAGGCACATTGTCCAGTTGACATATTCCCACCACATCCAACACTCGATCGACAAGTAACGGTGTTGTCAAGTGATCTGATGTGGTGTCGAATGCCTACACATACCACTAGTCACCGATCTCATCAACATTCCACAACACGTCAATTAAGGAAACAAGTGTGTGAACGAGATTACCTGTGTGTCGAGAAGATTCTCCTCACTGGCACCGACACCAACACCCATGTGACTGATCGAGTCAGAGTCTGTTGAAGTGTCTCTGGTCTCATCGTCTCCGGTCTGACGTTCACTCGTCGATGCTGGTTGTTCACTTGACACCTGAAAGTGAAAGAGATCATGGAGTGTATTAAGCTCGAGTGTGTAGTGTGCAGTATTTGGTGCTAGATTGTGACTGTGTGAGACCTATGCATTATATTGGTGTTGTCATGATTTCTGTTTTGTAGTGGTTGTGTGGATGACGTGTCAATGGTGAATTGGTCAGACCAATCCTCATCTGACAAGTAATGGGCGACAGTCACACCCAACCACATCACACCTCTACTCACTGAATCCACTGAAAATACATACAATGACAGTTGGTGGTGTGTTCATTCTCACGTCACAGATTTTCACAGCATCTCATATCACACATTCACACAACTTGTCAATCAGTCAGCTCATCGACGTTGTCTGCAGTCACAATGCACCATTCAGTCAGCACACATATTTGCTGTTGACAACCTCGGTCGGAATCCCAGTCACATCTGCATCAGGTCACTCACCCATTGTCACTCACATATACTCACTGTCAATCTCCACATGCATATGATTGGGTGAGCACACATTTGCATGCATTGGACAACACCTCGTGACTTCCATGCATCATCGTCGATGCGTTATCCACTAGTGTTGGTCACTACACCTCAGACAGATTCACAAACACACAAGAACACGCACACAGGCACATTGTCCAGTTGACACATTCCCACCACATCCAACACTCGATCGACAAGTAACGGTGTTGTCAAGTGATCTGATGTGGTGTCGAATGCCTACACATACCACTAGTCACCGATCTCATCAACATTCCACAACACGTCAATTAAGGAAACAAGTGTGTGAACGAGATTACCTGTGTGTCGAGAAGATTCTCCTCACTGGCACCGACACCAACACCCATGTGACTGATCGAGTCAGAGTCTGTTGAAGTGTCTCTGGTCTCATCGTCTCCGGTCTGACGTTCACTCGTCGATGCTGGTTGTTCACTTGACACCTGAAAGTGAAAGAGATCATGGAGTGTATTAAGCTCGAGTGTGTAGTGTGCAGTATTTGGTGCTAGATTGTGACTGTGTGAGACCTATGCATTATATTGGTGTTGTCATGATTTCTGTTTTGTAGTGGTTGTGTGGATGACGTGTCAATGGTGAATTGGTCAGACCAATCCTCATCTGACAAGTAATGGGCGACAGTCACACCCAACCACATCACACCTCTACTCACTGAATCCACTGAAAATACATACAATGACAGTTGGTGGTGTGTTCATTCTCACGTCACAGATTTTCACAGCATCTCATATCACACATTCACACAACTTGTCAATCAGTCAGCTCATCGACGTTGTCTGCAGTCACAATGCACCATTCAGTCAGCACACATATTTGCTGTTGACAACCTCGGTCGGAATCCCAGTCACATCTGCATCAGGTCACTCACCCATTGTCACTCACATATACTCACTGTCAATCTCCACATGCATATGATTGGGTGAGCACACATTGCATGCATTGGACAACACCTCGTGACTTCCATGCATCATCGTCGATGCGTTATCCACTAGTGTTGGTCACTACACCTCAGACAGATTCACAAACACACAAGAACACGCACACAGGCACATTGTCCAGTTGACACATTCCCACCACATCCAACACTCGATCGACAAGTAACGGTGTTGTCAAGTGATCTGATGTGGTGTCGAATGCCTACACATACCACTAGTCACCGATCTCATCAACATTCCACAACACGTCAATTAAGGAAACAAGTGTGTGAACGAGATTACCTGTGTGTCGAGAAGATTCTCCTCACTGGCACCGACACCAACACCCATGTGACTGATCGAGTCAGAGTCTGTTGAAGTGTCTCTGGTCTCATCGTCTCCGGTCTGACGTTCACTCGTCGATGCTGGTTGTTCACTTGACACCTGAAAGTGAAAGAGATCATGGAGTGTATTAAGCTCGAGTGTGTAGTGTGCAGTATTTGGTGCTAGATTGTGACTGTGTGAGACCTATGCATTATATTGGTGTTGTCATGATTTCTGTTTTGTAGTGGTTGTGTGGATGACGTGTCAATGGTGAATTGGTCAGACCAATCCTCATCTGACAAGTAATGGGCGACAGTCACACCCAACCACATCACACCTCTACTCACTGAATCCACTGAAAATACATACAATGACAGTTGGTGGTGTGTTCATTCTCACGTCACAGATTTTCACAGCATCTCATATCACACATTCACACAACTTGTCAATCAGTCAGCTCATCGACGTTGTCTGCAGTCACAATGCACCATTCAGTCAGCACACATATTTGCTGTTGACAACCTCGGTCGGAATCCCAGTCACATCTGCATCAGGTCACTCACCCATTGTCACTCACATATACTCACTGTCAATCTCCACATGCATATGATTGGGTGAGCACACATTGCATGCATTGGACAACACCTCGTGACTTCCATGCATCATCGTCGATGCGTTATCCACTAGTGTTGGTCACTACACCTCAGACAGATTCACAAACACACAAGAACACGCACACAGGCACATTGTCCAGTTGACACATTCCCACCACATCCAACACTCGATCGACAAGTAACGGTGTTGTCAAGTGATCTGATGTGGTGTCGAATGCCTACACATACCACTAGTCACCGATCTCATCAACATTCCACAACACGTCAATTAAGGAAACAAGTGTGTGAACGAGATTACCTGTGTGTCGAGAAGATTCTCCTCACTGGCACCGACACCAACACCCATGTGACTGATCGAGTCAGAGTCTGTTGAAGTGTCTCTGGTCTCATCGTCTCCGGTCTGACGTTCACTCGTCGATGCTGGTTGTTCACTTGACACCTGAAAGTGAAAGAGATCATGGAGTGTATTAAGCTCGAGTGTGTAGTGTGCAGTATTTGGTGCTAGATTGTGACTGTGTGAGACCTATGCATTATATTGGTGTTGTCATGATTTCTGTTTTGTAGTGGTTGTGTGGATGACGTGTCAATGGTGAATTGGTCAGACCAATCCTCATCTGACAAGTAATGGGCGACAGTCACACCCAACCACATCACACCTCTACTCACTGAATCCACTGAAAATACATACAATGACAGTTGGTGGTGTGTTCATTCTCACGTCACAGATTTTCACAGCATCTCATATCACACATTCACACAACTTGTCAATCAGTCAGCTCATCGACGTTGTCTGCAGTCACAATGCACCATTCAGTCAGCACACATATTTGCTGTTGACAACCTCGGTCGGAATCCCAGTCACATCTGCATCAGGTCACTCACCCATTGTCACTCACATATACTCACTGTCAATCTCCACATGCATATGATTGGGTGAGCACACATTGCATGCATTGGACAACACCTCGTGACTTCCATGCATCATCGTCGATGCGTTATCCACTAGTGTTGGTCACTACACCTCAGACAGATTCACAAACACACAAGAACACGCACACAGGCACATTGTCCAGTTGACACATTCCCACCACATCCAACACTCGATCGACAAGTAACGGTGTTGTCAAGTGATCTGATGTGGTGTCGAATGCCTACACATACCACTAGTCACCGATCTCATCAACATTCCACAACACGTCAATTAAGGAAACAAGTGTGTGAACGAGATTACCTGTGTGTCGAGAAGATTCTCCTCACTGGCACCGACACCAACACCCATGTGACTGATCGAGTCAGAGTCTGTTGAAGTGTCTCTGGTCTCATCGTCTCCGGTCTGACGTTCACTCGTCGATGCTGGTTGTTCACTTGACACCTGAAAGTGAAAGAGATCATGGAGTGTATTAAGCTCGAGTGTGTAGTGTGCAGTATTTGGTGCTAGATTGTGACTGTGTGAGACCTATGCATTATATTGGTGTTGTCATGATTTCTGTTTTGTAGTGGTTGTGTGGATGACGTGTCAATGGTGAATTGGTCAGACCAATCCTCATCTGACAAGTAATGGGCGACAGTCACACCCAACCACATCACACCTCTACTCACTGAATCCACTGAAAATACATACAATGACAGTTGGTGGTGTGTTCATTCTCACGTCACAAATTTTCACAGCATCTCATATCACACATTCACACAACTTGTCAATCAGTCAGCTCATCGACGTTGTCTGCAGTCACAATGCACCATTCAGTCAGCACACATATTTGCTGTTGACAACCTCGGTCGGAATCCCAGTCACATCTGCATCAGGTCACTCACCCATTGTCACTCACATATACTCACTGTCAATCTCCACATGCATATGATTGGGTGAGCACACATTGCATGCATTGGACAACACTGTTATATCCCCTGGTGAATTATGAATCGTAAATCTGAGGTCTATTATCGACCAATGTATTATGCCTATTTCTTATTGTACAGTTGTTACGTAACTAAATTATTCATATTTGTGTTTCTCTTATCATTAGCTTTATTTTGATCTTTGATTTATGATCATACGATACTTGAGTTATAATCAGTTTATTGATTACTTTGGTTTGTATAAAAACCCAGTGTGTTTGTAAATAATGATTCATATTGCCGAGGCTGTTATTTGTGTTCTGGACTCAACTGGCTGGGCTAGGCAGTTAGGAAGGACCGAATAGCACCCAAGACTGCTCAGGGCATGCGTTATATCAGTGGCGACGGGGAAAAACTACAAGACATATCAGTGGCGACGGGGAAAAACTACAAGACATATCACTGGCGACAAAAAAAAAATGACAATGAGTATTTCTTTAGAGCAATTTGAAGCTTATATGGAGCGTCAAGAAAAACGGTTTGAACAGTCTCAAATCAGAGTCATGGAAGCTCTTATGCAGAAATTATGTATGTCTCAACAAAACTCTGCTGCTGGTGAATTTCAAGTATCTCATACTGACTCAGTTATTAACGCAATCCATGAATTTAATTTTGATGGTGCAGCAGGTGTCACTTTTAACTCTTGGTTTAAGAAGTATGAAGATTTGTTTCATATTGATCTCTGCAGACTGGATGACGCTTCAAAAGTCAGAATACTTCTAAGGAAGCTTGGGACAACAGAACATGAACGCTATAGTAACTTTATTCTCCCGAAGAACCCACGAGACTTTAGTTTTGATGAAACAATTCAAACCCTGTCTCAAATCTTTGGAGAACAGTCGTCTCTATTTAATATCCGTTACCAGTGCTTGAAGATAACGAAAGAATCAGGAGATGACTGGGTGAAACATGCAGGTATTGTGAACCGAGAATGCGAGAGGTTCAATTTGTCTTCCATGTCTGAAGACCAGTTTAAATGCTTAGTATTTGTCTGTAGCCTGCGTTCACCTGAGGATGCTGACATCCGAACGAGAATCCTAAGCAAACTTGAGCATTGTCCCAACATGACCCTGCAGGAAGTGACTAATGAATGTCAAAGGTTAGTGAATTTGAAGCACGATACCTCGATGGTAGAAAACACTAACCAGTTCCTCCACGTTAATGCTGTTGAGAGGAAAGTCGAGCAAGGTTCCAGTATACAGAATTATCGAAATGATTGCGGTAAACCATCATCCCCATGCTGGTTATGCGGAGGTTGGCATTTCAAAAGGTTTTGTCCGTTTAAAAGTCATCGTTGCACTACGTGTTCCAGGAAAGGACACAAAGAAAGTCATTGCAAAACCCGTAAACGTCGTCAACCTAAAGTTTATTCTAAAAGATTCAAGCCACGCACAGCCAAGGTGACGGTAGCTGCTAACAGAATCGGCTCCCATAATCGTAGAAAGTATGTTTCCCTCAAGATTAACGGGTACGATGCCCGCTTACAGCTAGACACAGCCTCCGATATAACGCTTATAAGCAGGAGGACGTGGGAGAAAATTGGGAGGCCGAGAATATTTTCAACCTATCAGACAGCACACGGCGCATCCGGGGGGATTATAAACATTGCTGGTGAGGTTCACTGTAAAATCACAGTCGCAGAGCTTACAAAGAAGGGAGTAATATTTTTGACAGAACGGCCAGCACTCGACCTATTGGGACTTGATTGGATAGAAAAGTTGAAATTATTAGATCGTCCCATAAATTCAATCTGCAACAACGGCACTATGTCGAAAGTTGGGGACCCAACATTGTTTCGTGGGGGCGGTTGAAGTCAGCAAATGCAGTCTGGATACCTACCCCGCTTCTTCAAAAAAGGGGAGGTGTTAGATCGGCATACAATAAACTCTATCAGAGCCTCCAGAGAGGCTCATAAAGAGACCAACCAATCAGCGATCAGTTAGAAGCTATGCTACTAAAAATGCTACTAAAATAACAAGGTCCTGATTGGCTGTTAACATATTGCTACTATGGAATCTCAAGGTCTTTCTAATTACTATAAAACCCCTGTTTTTTCTGTACATAATCGAACCTTGTAGTAAAGTGATTTCTCTGTTACTCGTGTCTTCTTACTGGTCTTTCAAGTCGCTGAGTAGTGCTAGCCTGGGGTTATCCGAATAGCTTAGGATCTGAATATAGCGTTCAACCCACAAGTCATATCAGTGGCGACGGGGAAAAACTACAAGATATAACAGTGGCGACGGGGATTTTGGTACGCAAAAGAAAAAAGTATACAGTTTTCGACGGGGATTCTGGAAAAAAATACAGCAATCAAGACTGCTCGTACGTATTTCAAGTATCATTTGCATCCGATCAGTAAAATCCACTACATCTCCAATTGCACGTCCATATATATTACGAGTCCATACGATATAACAACTGACGACAGGGTAAAAAAATGGCTTTAACTTCCGATCAATTTCAGTTGCTAATTCAGAGACAAGAGCAGCGTTTTAAAAATAGTCAGTTGGATTTCATTGACAAGTTACACGCGACGCTGCTGAATCACCCATGCTTTGGGGGTGCAACGGAAGTTGACGCATTGATTTCTAAATTGCGTACAGAACTGGAAGTCGATTACAGAACAAATGAATATGCAGAGGAAAGCCTCTATGAATCCGCGAAAAACAGTAATTTAGATGCAGCAGTAACAGTCCTACATGATCAGCCCAGTAGTCCGGTGCTGCCTGTTTCAGAGACATGCCCTATACACGGTCCAAGTTCTATTAACCCCGAAAACGGACGTGCAAACAGTGGATCAACCTGTTTACAGAAAGACAATGTTTTGCTAAATGCTCATAAAATTACTGTAGTATCCGCCCACGAAGAAACGGGGAACAAATCGGGCAGTATATTGAATACAGTGGCGCCAAATCAAACCAGTCATGATGCAAAAAAGTTTTTTTATGAATCTAATGATCAAGATTATCTAATTGTTCTGCCAGATCCCGATTATTTTGCTGATTCATATGTTCCAGTTCAAATCTCTTATAAAAATGGGAGAAAAATATCGGATGCATTACATGATAATCAAGAATCCAATACAAATTTCATAGATACTGATTATCCTAATGATTCATTATCTACTAATGAGGTTCCGAGTAAATTCAAGGAAAGTGTTTCAAAAGAATCAGACGCCGGTGACCTCAAATCGAATGTCGTCGATCCTCACGATATAATCAGTTCTGGTGGATTCTCAGTTAAATACGACGAATATGTTTTAAATAATGTCACAATAACGGTAACTTGGGTACATGAGGATCCAACAATCTTTCGTGGGGGAGGGTGAATTCGAGAAATTTAAAATCCGGATGTCAACTCCGTATTTCTCAAAAAGGGGAGGTGTTATATCCCCTGGTGAATTATGAATCGTAAATCTGAGGTCTATTATCGACCAATGTATTATGCCTATTTCTTATTGTACAGTTGTTACGTAACTAAATTATTCATATTTGTGTTTCTCTTATCATTAGCTTTATTTTGATCTTTGATTTATGATCATACGATACTTGAGTTATAATCAGTTTATTGATTACTTTGGTTTGTATAAAAACCCAGTGTGTTTGTAAATAATGATTCATATTGCCGAGGCTGTTATTTGTGTTCTGGACTCAACTGGCTGGGCTAGGCAGTTAGGAAGGACCGAATAGCACCCAAGACTGCTCAGGCATACGTTATAACAAACACCTCGTGACTTCCATGCATCATCGTCGATGCGTTATCCACTAGTGTTGGTCACTACACCTCAGACAGATTCACAAACACACAAGAACACGCACACAGGCACATTGTCCAGTTGACACATTCCCACCACATCCAACACTCGATCGACAAGTAACGGTGTTGTCAAGTGATCTGATGTGGTGTCGAATGCCTACACATACCACTAGTCACCGATCTCATCAACATTCCACAACACGTCAATTAAGGAAACAAGTGTGTGAACGAGATTACCTGTGTGTCGAGAAGATTCTCCTCACTGGCACCGACACCAACACCCATGTGACTGATCGAGTCAGAGTCTGTTGAAGTGTCTCTGGTCTCATCGTCTCCGGTCTGACGTTCACTCGTCGATGCTGGTTGTTCACTTGACACCTGAAAGTGAAAGAGATCATGGAGTGTATTAAGCTCGAGTGTGTAGTGTGCAGTATTTGGTGCTAGATTGTGACTGTGTGAGACCTATGCATTATATTGGTGTTGTCATGATTTCTGTTTTGTAGTGGTTGTGTGGATGACGTGTCAATGGTGAATTGGTCAGACCAATCCTCATCTGACAAGTAATGGGCGACAGTCACACCCAACCACATCACACCTCTACTCACTGAATCCACTGAAAATACATACAATGACAGTTGGTGGTGTGTTCATTCTCACGTCACAGATTTTCACAGCATCTCATATCACACATTCACACAACTTGTCAATCAGTCAGCTCATCGACGTTGTCTGCAGTCACAATGCACCATTCAGTCAGCACACATATTTGCTGTTGACAACCTCGGTCGGAATCCCAGTCACATCTGCATCAGGTCACTCACCCATTGTCACTCACATATACTCACTGTCAATCTCCACATGCATATGATTGGGTGAGCACACATTGCATGCATTGGACAACACCTCGTGACTTCCATGCATCATCGTCGATGCGTTATCCACTAGTGTTGGTCACTACACCTCAGACAGATTCACAAACACACAAGAACACGCACACAGGCACATTGTCCAGTTGACACATTCCCACCACATCCAACACTCGATCGACAAGTAACGGTGTTGTCAAGTGATCTGATGTGGTGTCGAATGCCTACACATACCACTAGTCACCGATCTCATCAACATTCCACAACACGTCAATTAAGGAAACAAGTGTGTGAACGAGATTACCTGTGTGTCGAGAAGATTCTCCTCACTGGCACCGACACCAACACCCATGTGACTGATCGAGTCAGAGTCTGTTGAAGTGTCTCTGGTCTCATCGTCTCCGGTCTGACGTTCACTCGTCGATGCTGGTTGTTCACTTGACACCTGAAAGTGAAAGAGATCATGGAGTGTATTAAGCTCGAGTGTGTAGTGTGCAGTATTTGGTGCTAGATTGTGACTGTGTGAGACCTATGCATTATATTGGTGTTGTCATGATTTCTGTTTTGTAGTGGTTGTGTGGATGACGTGTCAATGGTGAATTGGTCAGACCAATCCTCATCTGACAAGTAATGGGCGACAGTCACACCCAACCACATCACACCTCTACTCACTGAATCCACTGAAAATACATACAATGACAGTTGGTGGTGTGTTCATTCTCACGTCACAGATTTTCACAGCATCTCATATCACACATTCACACAACTTGTCAATCAGTCAGCTCATCGACGTTGTCTGCAGTCACAATGCACCATTCAGTCAGCACACATATTTGCTGTTGACAACCTCGGTCGGAATCCCAGTCACATCTGCATCAGGTCACTCACCCATTGTCACTCACATATACTCACTGTCAATCTCCACATGCATATGATTGGGTGAGCACACATTGCATGCATTGGACAACACCTCGTGACTTCCATGCATCATCGTCGATGCGTTATCCACTAGTGTTGGTCACTACACCTCAGACAGATTCACAAACACACAAGAACACGCACACAGGCACATTGTCCAGTTGACACATTCCCACCACATCCAACACTCGATCGACAAGTAACGGTGTTGTCAAGTGATCTGATGTGGTGTCGAATGCCTACACATACCACTAGTCACCGATCTCATCAACATTCCACAACACGTCAATTAAGGAAACAAGTGTGTGAACGAGATTACCTGTGTGTCGAGAAGATTCTCCTCACTGGCACCGACACCAACACCCATGTGACTGATCGAGTCAGAGTCTGTTGAAGTGTCTCTGGTCTCATCGTCTCCGGTCTGACGTTCACTCGTCGATGCTGGTTGTTCACTTGACACCTGAAAGTGAAAGAGATCATGGAGTGTATTAAGCTCGAGTGTGTAGTGTGCAGTATTTGGTGCTAGATTGTGACTGTGTGAGACCTATGCATTATATTGGTGTTGTCATGATTTCTGTTTTGTAGTGGTTGTGTGGATGACGTGTCAATGGTGAATTGGTCAGACCAATCCTCATCTGACAAGTAATGGGCGACAGTCACACCCAACCACATCACACCTCTACTCACTGAATCCACTGAAAATACATACAATGACAGTTGGTGGTGTGTTCATTCTCACGTCACAGATTTTCACAGCATCTCATATCACACATTCACACAACTTGTCAATCAGTCAGCTCATCGACGTTGTCTGCAGTCACAATGCACCATTCAGTCAGCACACATATTTGCTGTTGACAACCTCGGTCGGAATCCCAGTCACATCTGCATCAGGTCACTCACCCATTGTCACTCACATATACTCACTGTCAATCTCCACATGCATATGATTGGGTGAGCACACATTGCATGCATTGGACAACACCTCGTGACTTCCATGCATCATCGTCGATGCGTTATCCACTAGTGTTGGTCACTACACCTCAGACAGATTCACAAACACACAAGAACACGCACACAGGCACATTGTCCAGTTGACACATTCCCACCACATCCAACACTCGATCGACAAGTAACGGTGTTGTCAAGTGATCTGATGTGGTGTCGAATGCCTACACATACCACTAGTCACCGATCTCATCAACATTCCACAACACGTCAATTAAGGAAACAAGTGTGTGAACGAGATTACCTGTGTGTCGAGAAGATTCTCCTCACTGGCACCGACACCAACACCCATGTGACTGATCGAGTCAGAGTCTGTTGAAGTGTCTCTGGTCTCATCGTCTCCGGTCTGACGTTCACTCGTCGATGCTGGTTGTTCACTTGACACCTGAAAGTGAAAGAGATCATGGAGTGTATTAAGCTCGAGTGTGTAGTGTGCAGTATTTGGTGCTAGATTGTGACTGTGTGAGACCTATGCATTATATTGGTGTTGTCATGATTTCTGTTTTGTAGTGGTTGTGTGGATGACGTGTCAATGGTGAATTGGTCAGACCAATCCTCATCTGACAAGTAATGGGCGACAGTCACACCCAACCACATCACACCTCTACTCACTGAATCCACTGAAAATACATACAATGACAGTTGGTGGTGTGTTCATTCTCACGTCACAGATTTTCACAGCATCTCATATCACACATTCACACAACTTGTCAATCAGTCAGCTCATCGACGTTGTCTGCAGTCACAATGCACCATTCAGTCAGCACACATATTTGCTGTTGACAACCTCGGTCGGAATCCCAGTCACATCTGCATCAGGTCACTCACCCATTGTCACTCACATATACTCACTGTCAATCTCCACATGCATATGATTGGGTGAGCACACATTGCATGCATTGGACAACACCTCGTGACTTCCATGCATCATCGTCGATGCGTTATCCACTAGTGTTGGTCACTACACCTCAGACAGATTCACAAACACACAAGAACACGCACACAGGCACATTGTCCAGTTGACACATTCCCACCACATCCAACACTCGATCGACAAGTAACGGTGTTGTCAAGTGATCTGATGTGGTGTCGAATGCCTACACATACCACTAGTCACCGATCTCATCAACATTCCACAACACGTCAATTAAGGAAACAAGTGTGTGAACGAGATTACCTGTGTGTCGAGAAGATTCTCCTCACTGGCACCGACACCAACACCCATGTGACTGATCGAGTCAGAGTCTGTTGAAGTGTCTCTGGTCTCATCGTCTCCGGTCTGACGTTCACTCGTCGATGCTGGTTGTTCACTTGACACCTGAAAGTGAAAGAGATCATGGAGTGTATTAAGCTCGAGTGTGTAGTGTGCAGTATTTGGTGCTAGATTGTGACTGTGTGAGACCTATGCATTATATTGGTGTTGTCATGATTTCTGTTTTGTAGTGGTTGTGTGGATGACGTGTCAATGGTGAATTGGTCAGACCAATCCTCATCTGACAAGTAATGGGCGACAGTCACACCCAACCACATCACACCTCTACTCACTGAATCCACTGAAAATACATACAATGACAGTTGGTGGTGTGTTCATTCTCACGTCACAGATTTTCACAGCATCTCATATCACACATTCACACAACTTGTCAATCAGTCAGCTCATCGACGTTGTCTGCAGTCACAATGCACCATTCAGTCAGCACACATATTTGCTGTTGACAACCTCGGTCGGAATCCCAGTCACATCTGCATCAGGTCACTCACCCATTGTCACTCACATATACTCACTGTCAATCTCCACATGCATATGATTGGGTGAGCACACATTGCATGCATTGGACAACACCTCGTGACTTCCATGCATCATCGTCGATGCGTTATCCACTAGTGTTGGTCACTACACCTCAGACAGATTCACAAACACACAAGAACACGCACACAGGCACATTGTCCAGTTGACACATTCCCACCACATCCAACACTCGATCGACAAGTAACGGTGTTGTCAAGTGATCTGATGTGGTGTCGAATGCCTACACATACCACTAGTCACCGATCTCATCAACATTCCACAACACGTCAATTAAGGAAACAAGTGTGTGAACGAGATTACCTGTGTGTCGAGAAGATTCTCCTCACTGGCACCGACACCAACACCCATGTGACTGATCGAGTCAGAGTCTGTTGAAGTGTCTCTGGTCTCATCGTCTCCGGTCTGACGTTCACTCGTCGATGCTGGTTGTTCACTTGACACCTGAAAGTGAAAGAGATCATGGAGTGTATTAAGCTCGAGTGTGTAGTGTGCAGTATTTGGTGCTAGATTGTGACTGTGTGAGACCTATGCATTATATTGGTGTTGTCATGATTTCTGTTTTGTAGTGGTTGTGTGGATGACGTGTCAATGGTGAATTGGTCAGACCAATCCTCATCTGACAAGTAATGGGCGACAGTCACACCCAACCACATCACACCTCTACTCACTGAATCCACTGAAAATACATACAATGACAGTTGGTGGTGTGTTCATTCTCACGTCACAGATTTTCACAGCATCTCATATCACACATTCACACAACTTGTCAATCAGTCAGCTCATCGACGTTGTCTGCAGTCACAATGCACCATTCAGTCAGCACACATATTTGCTGTTGACAACCTCGGTCGGAATCCCAGTCACATCTGCATCAGGTCACTCACCCATTGTCACTCACATATACTCACTGTCAATCTCCACATGCATATGATTGGGTGAGCACACATTGCATGCATTGGACAACACCTCGTGACTTCCATGCATCATCGTCGATGCGTTATCCACTAGTGTTGGTCACTACACCTCAGACAGATTCACAAACACACAAGAACACGCACACAGGCACATTGTCCAGTTGACACATTCCCACCACATCCAACACTCGATCGACAAGTAACGGTGTTGTCAAGTGATCTGATGTGGTGTCGAATGCCTACACATACCACTAGTCACCGATCTCATCAACATTCCACAACACGTCAATTAAGGAAACAAGTGTGTGAACGAGATTACCTGTGTGTCGAGAAGATTCTCCTCACTGGCACCGACACCAACACCCATGTGACTGATCGAGTCAGAGTCTGTTGAAGTGTCTCTGGTCTCATCGTCTCCGGTCTGACGTTCACTCGTCGATGCTGGTTGTTCACTTGACACCTGAAAGTGAAAGAGATCATGGAGTGTATTAAGCTCGAGTGTGTAGTGTGCAGTATTTGGTGCTAGATTGTGACTGTGTGAGACCTATGCATTATATTGGTGTTGTCATGATTTCTGTTTTGTAGTGGTTGTGTGGATGACGTGTCAATGGTGAATTGGTCAGACCAATCCTCATCTGACAAGTAATGGGCGACAGTCACACCCAACCACATCACACCTCTACTCACTGAATCCACTGAAAATACATACAATGACAGTTGGTGGTGTGTTCATTCTCACGTCACAGATTTTCACAGCATCTCATATCACACATTCACACAACTTGTCAATCAGTCAGCTCATCGACGTTGTCTGCAGTCACAATGCACCATTCAGTCAGCACACATATTTGCTGTTGACAACCTCGGTCGGAATCCCAGTCACATCTGCATCAGGTCACTCACCCATTGTCACTCACATATACTCACTGTCAATCTCCACATGCATATGATTGGGTGAGCACACATTGCATGCATTGGACAACACCTCGTGACTTCCATGCATCATCGTCGATGCGTTATCCACTAGTGTTGGTCACTACACCTCAGACAGATTCACAAACACACAAGAACACGCACACAGGCACATTGTCCAGTTGACACATTCCCACCACATCCAACACTCGATCGACAAGTAACGGTGTTGTCAAGTGATCTGATGTGGTGTCGAATGCCTACACATACCACTAGTCACCGATCTCATCAACATTCCACAACACGTCAATTAAGGAAACAAGTGTGTGAACGAGATTACCTGTGTGTCGAGAAGATTCTCCTCACTGGCACCGACACCAACACCCATGTGACTGATCGAGTCAGAGTCTGTTGAAGTGTCTCTGGTCTCATCGTCTCCGGTCTGACGTTCACTCGTCGATGCTGGTTGTTCACTTGACACCTGAAAGTGAAAGAGATCATGGAGTGTATTAAGCTCGAGTGTGTAGTGTGCAGTATTTGGTGCTAGATTGTGACTGTGTGAGACCTATGCATTATATTGGTGTTGTCATGATTTCTGTTTTGTAGTGGTTGTGTGGATGACGTGTCAATGGTGAATTGGTCAGACCAATCCTCATCTGACAAGTAATGGGCGACAGTCACACCCAACCACATCACACCTCTACTCACTGAATCCACTGAAAATACATACAATGACAGTTGGTGGTGTGTTCATTCTCACGTCACAGATTTTCACAGCATCTCATATCACACATTCACACAACTTGTCAATCAGTCAGCTCATCGACGTTGTCTGCAGTCACAATGCACCATTCAGTCAGCACACATATTTGCTGTTGACAACCTCGGTCGGAATCCCAGTCACATCTGCATCAGGTCACTCACCCATTGTCACTCACATATACTCACTGTCAATCTCCACATGCATATGATTGGGTGAGCACACATTGCATGCATTGGACAACACCTCGTGACTTCCATGCATCATCGTCGATGCGTTATCCACTAGTGTTGGTCACTACACCTCAGACAGATTCACAAACACACAAGAACACGCACACAGGCACATTGTCCAGTTGACACATTCCCACCACATCCAACACTCGATCGACAAGTAACGGTGTTGTCAAGTGATCTGATGTGGTGTCGAATGCCTACACATACCACTAGTCACCGATCTCATCAACATTCCACAACACGTCAATTAAGGAAACAAGTGTGTGAACGAGATTACCTGTGTGTCGAGAAGATTCTCCTCACTGGCACCGACACCAACACCCATGTGACTGATCGAGTCAGAGTCTGTTGAAGTGTCTCTGGTCTCATCGTCTCCGGTCTGACGTTCACTCGTCGATGCTGGTTGTTCACTTGACACCTGAAAGTGAAAGAGATCATGGAGTGTATTAAGCTCGAGTGTGTAGTGTGCAGTATTTGGTGCTAGATTGTGACTGTGTGAGACCTATGCATTATATTGGTGTTGTCATGATTTCTGTTTTGTAGTGGTTGTGTGGATGACGTGTCAATGGTGAATTGGTCAGACCAATCCTCATCTGACAAGTAATGGGCGACAGTCACACCCAACCACATCACACCTCTACTCACTGAATCCACTGAAAATACATACAATGACAGTTGGTGGTGTGTTCATTCTCACGTCACAGATTTTCACAGCATCTCATATCACACATTCACACAACTTGTCAATCAGTCAGCTCATCGACGTTGTCTGCAGTCACAATGCACCATTCAGTCAGCACACATATTTGCTGTTGACAACCTCGGTCGGAATCCCAGTCACATCTGCATCAGGTCACTCACCCATTGTCACTCACATATACTCACTGTCAATCTCCACATGCATATGATTGGGTGAGCACACATTGCATGCATTGGACAACACCTCGTGACTTCCATGCATCATCGTCGATGCGTTATCCACTAGTGTTGGTCACTACACCTCAGACAGATTCACAAACACACAAGAACACGCACACAGGCACATTGTCCAGTTGACACATTCCCACCACATCCAACACTCGATCGACAAGTAACGGTGTTGTCAAGTGATCTGATGTGGTGTCGAATGCCTACACATACCACTAGTCACCGATCTCATCAACATTCCACAACACGTCAATTAAGGAAACAAGTGTGTGAACGAGATTACCTGTGTGTCGAGAAGATTCTCCTCACTGGCACCGACACCAACACCCATGTGACTGATCGAGTCAGAGTCTGTTGAAGTGTCTCTGGTCTCATCGTCTCCGGTCTGACGTTCACTCGTCGATGCTGGTTGTTCACTTGACACCTGAAAGTGAAAGAGATCATGGAGTGTATTAAGCTCGAGTGTGTAGTGTGCAGTATTTGGTGCTAGATTGTGACTGTGTGAGACCTATGCATTATATTGGTGTTGTCATGATTTCTGTTTTGTAGTGGTTGTGTGGATGACGTGTCAATGGTGAATTGGTCAGACCAATCCTCATCTGACAAGTAATGGGCGACAGTCACACCCAACCACATCACACCTCTACTCACTGAATCCACTGAAAATACATACAATGACAGTTGGTGGTGTGTTCATTCTCACGTCACAGATTTTCACAGCATCTCATATCACACATTCACACAACTTGTCAATCAGTCAGCTCATCGACGTTGTCTGCAGTCACAATGCACCATTCAGTCAGCACACATATTTGCTGTTGACAACCTCGGTCGGAATCCCAGTCACATCTGCATCAGGTCACTCACCCATTGTCACTCACATATACTCACTGTCAATCTCCACATGCATATGATTGGGTGAGCACACATTGCATGCATTGGACAACACCTCGTGACTTCCATGCATCATCGTCGATGCGTTATCCACTAGTGTTGGTCACTACACCTCAGACAGATTCACAAACACACAAGAACACGCACACAGGCACATTGTCCAGTTGACACATTCCCACCACATCCAACACTCGATCGACAAGTAACGGTGTTGTCAAGTGATCTGATGTGGTGTCGAATGCCTACACATACCACTAGTCACCGATCTCATCAACATTCCACAACACGTCAATTAAGGAAACAAGTGTGTGAACGAGATTACCTGTGTGTCGAGAAGATTCTCCTCACTGGCACCGACACCAACACCCATGTGACTGATCGAGTCAGAGTCTGTTGAAGTGTCTCTGGTCTCATCGTCTCCGGTCTGACGTTCACTCGTCGATGCTGGTTGTTCACTTGACACCTGAAAGTGAAAGAGATCATGGAGTGTATTAAGCTCGAGTGTGTAGTGTGCAGTATTTGGTGCTAGATTGTGACTGTGTGAGACCTATGCATTATATTGGTGTTGTCATGATTTCTGTTTTGTAGTGGTTGTGTGGATGACGTGTCAATGGTGAATTGGTCAGACCAATCCTCATCTGACAAGTAATGGGCGACAGTCACACCCAACCACATCACACCTCTACTCACTGAATCCACTGAAAATACATACAATGACAGTTGGTGGTGTGTTCATTCTCACGTCACAGATTTTCACAGCATCTCATATCACACATTCACACAACTTGTCAATCAGTCAGCTCATCGACGTTGTCTGCAGTCACAATGCACCATTCAGTCAGCACACATATTTGCTGTTGACAACCTCGGTCGGAATCCCAGTCACATCTGCATCAGGTCACTCACCCATTGTCACTCACATATACTCACTGTCAATCTCCACATGCATATGATTGGGTGAGCACACATTGCATGCATTGGACAACACCTCGTGACTTCCATGCATCATCGTCGATGCGTTATCCACTAGTGTTGGTCACTACACCTCAGACAGATTCACAAACACACAAGAACACGCACACAGGCACATTGTCCAGTTGACACATTCCCACCACATCCAACACTCGATCGACAAGTAACGGTGTTGTCAAGTGATCTGATGTGGTGTCGAATGCCTACACATACCACTAGTCACCGATCTCATCAACATTCCACAACACGTCAATTAAGGAAACAAGTGTGTGAACGAGATTACCTGTGTGTCGAGAAGATTCTCCTCACTGGCACCGACACCAACACCCATGTGACTGATCGAGTCAGAGTCTGTTGAAGTGTCTCTGGTCTCATCGTCTCCGGTCTGACGTTCACTCGTCGATGCTGGTTGTTCACTTGACACCTGAAAGTGAAAGAGATCATGGAGTGTATTAAGCTCGAGTGTGTAGTGTGCAGTATTTGGTGCTAGATTGTGACTGTGTGAGACCTATGCATTATATTGGTGTTGTCATGATTTCTGTTTTGTAGTGGTTGTGTGGATGACGTGTCAATGGTGAATTGGTCAGACCAATCCTCATCTGACAAGTAATGGGCGACAGTCACACCCAACCACATCACACCTCTACTCACTGAATCCACTGAAAATACATACAATGACAGTTGGTGGTGTGTTCATTCTCACGTCACAGATTTTCACAGCATCTCATATCACACATTCACACAACTTGTCAATCAGTCAGCTCATCGACGTTGTCTGCAGTCACAATGCACCATTCAGTCAGCACACATATTTGCTGTTGACAACCTCGGTCGGAATCCCAGTCACATCTGCATCAGGTCACTCACCCATTGTCACTCACATATACTCACTGTCAATCTCCACATGCATATGATTGGTTGAGCACACATTGCATGCATTGGACAACACCTCGTGACTTCCATGCATCATCGTCGATGCGTTATCCACTAGTGTTGGTCACTACACCTCAGACAGATTCACAAACACACAAGAACACGCACACAGGCACATTGTCCAGTTGACACATTCCCACCACATCCAACACTCGATCGACAAGTAACGGTGTTGTCAAGTGATCTGATGTGGTGTCGAATGCCTACACATACCACTAGTCACCGATCTCATCAACATTCCACAACACGTCAATTAAGGAAACAAGTGTGTGAACGAGATTACCTGTGTGTCGAGAAGATTCTCCTCACTGGCACCGACACCAACACCCATGTGACTGATCGAGTCAGAGTCTGTTGAAGTGTCTCTGGTCTCATCGTCTCCGGTCTGACGTTCACTCGTCGATGCTGGTTGTTCACTTGACACCTGAAAGTGAAAGAGATCATGGAGTGTATTAAGCTCGAGTGTGTAGTGTGCAGTATTTGGTGCTAGATTGTGACTGTGTGAGACCTATGCATTATATTGGTGTTGTCATGATTTCTGTTTTGTAGTGGTTGTGTGGATGACGTGTCAATGGTGAATTGGTCAGACCAATCCTCATCTGACAAGTAATGGGCGACAGTCACACCCAACCACATCACACCTCTACTCACTGAATCCACTGAAAATACATACAATGACAGTTGGTGGTGTGTTCATTCTCACGTCACAGATTTTCACAGCATCTCATATCACACATTCACACAACTTGTCAATCAGTCAGCTCATCGACGTTGTCTGCAGTCACAATGCACCATTCAGTCAGCACACATATTTGCTGTTGACAACCTCGGTCGGAATCCCAGTCACATCTGCATCAGGTCACTCACCCATTGTCACTCACATATACACACTGTCAATCTCCACATGCATATGATTGGGTGAGCACACATTGCATGCATTGGACAACACCTCGTGACTTCCATGCATCATCGTCGATGCGTTATCCACTAGTGTTGGTCACTACACCTCAGACAGATTCACAAACACACAAGAACACGCACACAGGCACATTGTCCAGTTGACACATTCCCACCACATCCAACACTCGATCGACAAGTAACGGTGTTGTCAAGTGATCTGATGTGGTGTCGAATGCCTACACATACCACTAGTCACCGATCTCATCAACATTCCACAACACGTCAATTAAGGAAACAAGTGTGTGAACGAGATTACCTGTGTGTCGAGAAGATTCTCCTCACTGGCACCGACACCAACACCCATGTGACTGATCGAGTCAGAGTCTGTTGAAGTGTCTCTGGTCTGATCGACGAGATCAAGCATCACATATCAGTCGCACATACCACCTCACTATGTGTGCATGGGTTGGACAATGCAACGTGACTTCAACGGATGGTGGACAATGCTTCGTCGAACCAATTTTGCTCAGCACACATCAGACTGATTCAAAACTACTGAAAAACACATGCACACATAACGACAGTGGCTACGATCACGGTGTCGACATGAGACGTTTCGACCTCATCACATACTCAATGGATCCTTCACTCCAAATTCAAGTGATCTGATAGGAGACACACCGTACAAGTACTAACGTGGCAACGCTCACACACAGTTACACAGAGAGTGAGTGAGAGAGAGTCACAGTCACAGTCATAGAAACTGACACACACACACACACAGATTGACAAATTTATCAAAATTCTACAACACTGCAATGAACGAAACAAGTAGTTGAATGGGATTACCTGTGTTCTTTGAAGATTCTCCCAACTGGAATCGACACGGTCCATGTGACTGACAGAATGGGTGCCTGTCGAAGCGTCTCCACTCACATCTCGCTCACCTCCGACTTCCTCTGTCAGTGCTGGTGTTCCATCTGTTACCTGAAATGGAATGAGACCACAGAGTGGATTAGGCGCGAGTGTGTAGTGTGAAGTAATTAGTGTGGGATTGCAAGTGTGTGAGACCTATGCATTATGTTTGGTGAGACATTCATAGTGTTTTAGTGGTTGTCTGGATCACTTGTCTGAAGTGAATTATTCGGCACGCTCGTCACCTAACATGTTCTCCTCTAGCCAATCATCTGCCTCCCCTTCACCCAATTCGACTCAACACATTCTCTGAAGAATCCATGTGCCTGTCCAATAGCATCTTTGTTCCTTGTCCGCCTACACTGAAACACACCCACTTACTCACACTCTACTTCACACAATCAAACTCAACTCAGTCATTTCATCACAAATGTTTACGTTCACAGTCGACCTTTCATGCACCACATATATCTAGGATTGCCGACTCCAGTGAGAATCATCAATACTGAACGACGAGATCAAACATCACATATCAGTCGCACATACCACCTCACTATGTGTGCATGGGTTGGACAATGCAACGTGACTTCAACGGATGGTGGACAATGCTTCGTCGAACCAATTTTGCTCAGCACACATCAGACTGATTCAAAACTACTGAAAAACACATGCACACATAACGACAGTGGCTACGATCACGGTGTCGACATGAGACGTTTCGACCTCATCACATACTCAATGGATCCTTCACTCCAAATTCAAGTGATCTGATAGGAGACACACCGTACAAGTACTAACGTGGCAACGCTCACACACAGTTACACAGAGAGTGAGTGAGAGAGAGTCACAGTCACAGTCATAGAAACTGACACACACACACACACAGATTGACAAATTTATCAAAATTCTACAACACTGCAATGAACGAAACAAGTAGTTGAATGGGATTACCTGTGTTCTTTGAAGATTCTCCCAACTGGAATCGACACGGTCCATGTGACTGACAGAATGGGTGCCTGTCGAAGCGTCTCCACTCACATCTCGCTCACCTCCGACTTCCTCTGTCAGTGCTGGTGTTCCATCTGTTACCTGAAATGGAATGAGACCACAGAGTGGATTAGGCGCGAGTGTGTAGTGTGCAGTAATTAGTGTGGGATTGCAAGTGTGTGAGACCTATGCATTATGTTTGGTGAGACATTCATAGTGTTTTAGTGGTTGTCTGGATCACTTGTCTGAAGTGAATTATTCGGCACGCTCGTCACCTAACATGTTCTCCTCTAGCCAATCATCTGCCTCCCCTTCACCCAATTCGACTCAACACATTCTCTGAAGAATCCATGTGCCTGTCCAATAGCATCTTTGTTCCTTGTCCGCCTACACTGAAACACACCCACTTACTCACACTCTACTTCACACAATCAAACTCAACTCAGTCATTTCATCACAAATGTTTACGTTCACAGTCGACCTTTCATGCACCACATATATCTAGGATTGCCGACTCCAGTGAGAATCATCAATACTGAACGACGAGATCAAACATCACATATCAGTCGCACATACCACCTCACTATGTGTGCATGGGTTGGACAATGCAACGTGACTTCAACGGATGGTGGACAATGCTTCGTCGAACCAATTTTGCTCAGCACACATCAGACTGATTCAAAACTACTGAAAAACACATGCACACATAACGACAGTGGCTACGATCACGGTGTCGACATGAGACGTTTCGACCTCATCACATACTCAATGGATCCTTCACTCCAAATTCAAGTGATCTGATAGGAGACACACCGTACAAGTACTAACGTGGCAACGCTCACACACAGTTACACAGAGAGTGAGTGAGAGAGAGTCACAGTCACAGTCATAGAAACTGACACACACACACACACAGATTGACAAATTTATCAAAATTCTACAACACTGCAATGAACGAAACAAGTAGTTGAATGGGATTACCTGTGTTCTTTGAAGATTCTCCCAACTGGAATCGACACGGTCCATGTGACTGACAGAATGGGTGCCTGTCGAAGCGTCTCCACTCACATCTCGCTCACCTCCGACTTCCTCTGTCAGTGCTGGTGTTCCATCTGTTACCTGAAATGGAATGAGACCACAGAGTGGATTAGGCGCGAGTGTGTAGTGTGCAGTAATTAGTGTGGGATTGCAAGTGTGTGAGACCTATGCATTATGTTTGGTGAGACATTCATAGTGTTTTAGTGGTTGTCTGGATCACTTGTCTGAAGTGAATTATTCGGCACGCTCGTCACCTAACATGTTCTCCTCTAGCCAATCATCTGCCTCCCCTTCACCCAATTCGACTCAACACATTCTCTGAAGAATCCATGTGCCTGTCCAATAGCATCTTTGTTCCTTGTCCGCCTACACTGAAACACACCCACTTACTCACACTCTACTTCACACAATCAAACTCAACTCAGTCATTTCATCACAAATGTTTACGTTCACAGTCGACCTTTCATGCACCACATATATCTAGGATTGCCGACTCCAGTGAGAATCATCAATACTGAACGACGAGATCAAACATCACATATCAGTCGCACATACCACCTCACTATGTGTGCATGGGTTGGACAATGCAACGTGACTTCAACGGATGGTGGACAATGCTTCGTCGAACCAATTTTGCTCAGCACACATCAGACTGATTCAAAACTACTGAAAAACACATGCACACATAACGACAGTGGCTACGATCACGGTGTCGACATGAGACGTTTCGACCTCATCACATACTCAATGGATCCTTCACTCCAAATTCAAGTGATCTGATAGGAGACACACCGTACAAGTACTAACGTGGCAACGCTCACACACAGTTACACAGAGAGTGAGTGAGAGAGAGTCACAGTCACAGTCATAGAAACTGACACACACACACACACAGATTGACAAATTTATCAAAATTCTACAACACTGCAATGAACGAAACAAGTAGTTGAATGGGATTACCTGTGTTCTTTGAAGATTCTCCCAACTGGAATCGACACGGTCCATGTGACTGACAGAATGGGTGCCTGTCGAAGCGTCTCCACTCACATCTCGCTCACCTCCGACTTCCTCTGTCAGTGCTGGTGTTCCATCTGTTACCTGAAATGGAATGAGACCACAGAGTGGATTAGGCGCGAGTGTGTAGTGTGCAGTAATTAGTGTGGGATTGCAAGTGTGTGAGACCTATGCATTATGTTTGGTGAGACATTCATAGTGTTTTAGTGGTTGTCTGGATCACTTGTCTGAAGTGAATTATTCGGCACGCTCGTCACCTAACATGTTCTCCTCTAGCCAATCATCTGCCTCCCCTTCACCCAATTCGACTCAACACATTCTCTGAAGAATCCATGTGCCTGTCCAATAGCATCTTTGTTCCTTGTCCGCCTACACTGAAACACACCCACTTACTCACACTCTACTTCACACAATCAAACTCAACTCAGTCATTTCATCACAAATGTTTACGTTCACAGTCGACCTTTCATGCACCACATATATCTAGGATTGCCGACTCCAGTGAGAATCATCAATACTGAACGACGAGATCAAACATCACATATCAGTCGCACATACCACCTCACTATGTGTGCATGGGTTGGACAATGCCACGTGACTTCAACGGATGGTGGACAATGCTTCGTCGAACCAATTTTGCTCAGCACACATCAGACTGATTCAAAACTACTGAAAAACACATGCACACATAACGACAGTGGCTACGATCACGGTGTCGACATGAGACGTTTCGACCTCATCACATACTCAATGGATCCTTCACTCCAAATTCAAGTGATCTGATAGGAGACACACCGTACAAGTACTAACGTGGCAACGCTCACACACAGTTACACAGAGAGTGAGTGAGAGAGAGTCACAGTCACAGTCATAGAAACTGACACACACACACACACAGATTGACAAATTTATCAAAATTCTACAACACTGCAATGAACGAAACAAGTAGTTGAATGGGATTACCTGTGTTCTTTGAAGATTCTCCCAACTGGAATCGACACGGTCCATGTGACTGACAGAATGGGTGCCTGTCGAAGCGTCTCCACTCACATCTCGCTCACCTCCGACTTCCTCTGTCAGTGCTGGTGTTCCATCTGTTACCTGAAATGGAATGAGACCACAGAGTGGATTAGGCGCGAGTGTGTAGTGTGCAGTAATTAGTGTGGGATTGCAAGTGTGTGAGACCTATGCATTATGTTTGGTGAGACATTCATAGTGTTTTAGTGGTTGTCTGGATCACTTGTCTGAAGTGAATTATTCGGCACGCTCGTCACCTAACATGTTCTCCTCTAGCCAATCATCTGCCTCCCCTTCACCCAATTCGACTCAACACATTCTCTGAAGAATCCATGTGCCTGTCCAATAGCATCTTTGTTCCTTGTCCGCCTACACTGAAACACACCCACTTACTCACACTCTACTTCACACAATCAAACTCAACTCAGTCATTTCATCA